CGGCCCGTATTAAAGAGGGTTCAACTCGGACCACGTAGCAGGTGGGCCAGGTCTATATATGGCAACCCGGCAGGTTGCTATTTTGTTTTTTTAGAAAGAGGCCCGCCAACCCGACGGGTTGACCCACGGGTTGGCCCAAAAAAAAAAAATACCCCTTTTTCCCTTGAAATATNTTTGACACTACATATTTGACCAACAAGTACGATATGCCATTTGCGGCATTTGTTGGCGTTGACTATCATGGGCATTTGACACTCTTAGGTTTTAGGTTAATCTCTCATGAGGACACGAAGACTTTTGCTTGGCTTTTTGAATCTTGGCTTGCATATATGTGGAATTGTGCTCCAAATGCAATAATCACTGATCAAGACAAGGTGATACAAAATGCAATCGAGATTGTGTTTCCTGGTACTCGACATAGATGTTGTTTGTGGCACATAATGAAGAAATTGTCAGAAAAGATAAGGGGTTGTTGTGAATATGAACATATTAAGTTTTCTTTGCAAAATGTGGTGTATGACTCATTGATACGTGAGGAGTTCAAACAACGTTGGACTTGATTCATTGATAAATACAACCTTCCAACAATGAGTAGTTACTTGGATTGTATAATGAAAGACAACATTGGATGCTAGCATTTGTAAAAGACACCTTTTGAGTAGGTATGTCTACCACTCAACGGAGTGAAAGTATGCATGCATTTGTTGATGGGTATGCAAATTCTACAATTATTTTGAAAACAATATGAGAATGTATTGTGTGATAAAGTAGAAAAAGAAAAGGAGGCCGATTTTAGATCATGGAAATCATGGATCCCTTGCATAACTAGTTATCCGATGGAGAAGAGGCATACACGATCGCGAAATTCAAAGAGTTTCAGGAAGAGCTGACTGCTAAGTTGCATTGTGAGATATCTTCTATCAGGGCCACTAAATCTGAAATAGAATATATTGTAATGGAAGTTGTCGTGGTTGGGGAGACCTCTCGTAGTGTGCTTTTTGTTGTTTGTTGTTTGTTGTGATGCCACACGAAGGTTAGAATTAGTTATAGTAGTTGGAGCATGACTGGTGAAGGAGAATAGTTTAATCAATTGTCCAATTCATTCTGTGAGGTTGCTAATTTGGCCTCAATCAATATTGATGATAATAATATGGTGAAGAAATTATTGTCAAATGAACGTGTTGCTGGGCTTGATAGACACTATGACATGACTATCACAGTGGATCAAATTTTGATAGTATTCATGCTAACTTCATAGAGGCAAGCAATAATATTCTACTCCTTGGGTTGTTCGTTGCAAAGGTCGACCTCCATTCAAAAGGAAGCAATTGAAGCTCGAACAAATTTGACGTAAAGGTAAACAAAAGAAATGTCATAAAAAAGTGACTGTTGCGACATTCTTGAATCGATTGTATGATAGGGGTTCCCAAGAAACCAAGCAAGTGAATGAACCTGTTCAAGATGCGATTAACTTCCAAGGATGTGAAGAAAGAGTTCGTATATTAAGTCAAGTACGATTCATTAAATTTTTACCTTTTTTGGTGGACGATTAATTTCTTAAGTCATTTTTTTACATTTTTTAGAATTATAGTGAAAGGTTAGTCGCTTATAGGCCGTATCCAACAAATTCAAACTTGTGAATGAAGAATAATGGGTCGAAGACCATGGTGAAAAGAATAGACAAGTTTAAAGATGTTATATCGTAAAGTTGTATTATATAATTTACTTTTGTTTGTTTGTAATCCAAGCTGAAGATGTCATGTTGTTCTTGGATAATATTTTGTTCTTATATAATATATTGTACATGTAAGACATCAATTTAAAAGATGCAAGATTTACTATGAAAAACAAAAAAAACACTTTATTAATGGTATATATAGTCATTTCTTGTACAATATTTTTACCAAAATGAAACATAACCCCGCAACATAACATTGGGGAAAGAACATCAAAACCTTGAAGCATTTGAAAACCTAAATTAGAAGCAATAAATTACATCAATGAGTATCGCAAAATTATGGTTCTCTATTTAAACAAGTTAAGTTCGATGAGCTGACTTCTTGATCCCGAACAATCAATTTATGGAATTTTCTTGATCATTACAATAGAAGTCTTCAAATGTCACTAAAGTTAGAATGCAAAGTTGAAAGCAATGCACTTGTAGTAATAAAATTTTTCTAAGATTATGGGGTTAGTGATGGCCATTTAGGGTTTATGGGGGCGAGGGGGTGGTAGTAGGGTTTCCTGGGTACAGTGGGGGGCAACTGTGGTGGCAGGTGATGCTTGGGAAATGACTGTAGTGGGTAGAAAAGGGGGGCAGAGTGTGGTGTGTCAAGTGGGCAATGGCTACAGGTGGTTGTAGGGGTTGCTGGGGGTGTTAGGTTGGTGAAACATGGGTTTAAGGCTAAGAAAGGTGGTTGGGGCACTGGGAGGTAGCAAGGTGGCCTGGGTACAGTGGGGGGCAACTGTGGTGGTAGGTGATGCTTGGGAAATGACTGTAGTGGGTAGAAAAGGGGGGCAGTGTGTGGTGGTCAAGTGGGCAATGGCTACAGGTGGTTGTAGGGGTACTGGGGGTGTTAGGTTGGTGAAATATGGGTTCAAGGCTAAGAAAGGTGGTTGGGGCATGTAACGCCCCACTTGAGGTACGTAGTTCTTGTTTCTTCTTTTGCTCTTATTTGAGTTGGTTTCTTGGTAATATTGTTTGGTTGACCTTTGATTGAGTGTTGTGTTGAATACTTGCCCTGAAATTGGTTGAAAATAGAAGAAGTTCAGTGTTTCAAGCTTCGCCGGGGCGAAGAAGAATCTTCGCCGCGGCGAAGAGGTGTTGAAGCCACGGGAAGTTTCTGGACAGTTTCGCCGCGGCGACGTGCCAACCAAAATGTAAGATTTAATGTTCAGCTTGGCAGCAGCCTTCAGTAATTATTTTTATGGTCTGCAATATCTGGTTAATTGGAATTATAACTGATTGTGTTGACATTCCAGTCTATTTAATATGTGGTTACTGGTTGGATTTGTTTGCTTATTACATTCCAATCTTTTAGTTTATTGATAACTAACACAACTTGTGTTATATGATTGTAGGATTGCTGGATTATGGTGGTCTTTGGTGCTGTGTAGTGTTTTTGCTTTGTAGGCAGGATGCATGAGCCTATTTTTTGATGGCTTTTGTTGGCTCCTTCTGTATAGAATTGATGGGTCTATTGTGTATAGGAATTGTTTATCCTTCCTTGCCCTTTTTGTTTTTTGTTTCATTCTCTGTGGGCATATCTATTGTGTATAAGGATTGTTTATCCTCCCTTGCCCTTTTCTTTTTTGTTTCATTCTCCTTGGGTATGCCTAAGGTGATTGCTCTTAAGGGGAGTCCCCTTTATTGACTATTATTCTTTTATTCCTTATAAAATTACCAGGATTACCAAAACAAAAAAACAAAAAAAGTTAAGCAATGTATTGGATTTTGTTAAATGTTCAATGTGGATCTTGATTCTTATTTTGTTTTTTTTTTCTTTGATTTATGATGCTGTAATTATGGGTTTATGGCCTGAAATTGCCTGATCTTTTGGAGTTGACTGATCTTGGATTTTGTTAAATGTTAAATGTTCAAGTATTGATCTTATGGGGCAGGTAAGTCATTTATTACTGTGTTGATGCTTAAGTTGATGTTTAAGTTGATGTTTCATTGTTCTTCATAATTTTGACATTTTGGACAAGACTTTCAGGTTCCAATGCCTTTGTATGTGCATTCCTAGGTTTACAAAGTCAGACATTTGGTCAAAGTGGAAATCAAGCCAGATTTTGTCCTTAATGCTGAGAAGGAACTTGGTATCATTGCTGGTCTTCAAGATCGAGTGGCATAAGTCTATGGTGGCCTTGTTTACATGGTATGTGATGTTCATGCATATATGTTCAAATGCTCATAAATCTGATGCATGTCTTTTTATTTATAATATGATGCATATATGTTCAGTGTTGAGAAGGAATTTTAGTTTTCCACGTATTTTCCTTTCTATTTATAATCTGATGCATGTCTTTTTTCTGTTTATAATCTGATGCATGTCTTTTTTCTGTTGCAGTCTTTCTCAGTTTGCTGGATGGGAAGCTTGGGTAGTTTCTGTTGCAGCTGCAGAATTTGAGAAGTTGCAATCTTTCTCCAGTTTGTGTAGAATTTGAAAAAATCAGAATTTGTGCAGTCTTTCTCCACTTTGTGAATTTGAGAAGCTGCAGAAAAGTTGCTGTTTAGGATGTTAGGACTTAGGACGGAGCTTGTTAAATTGGACTTATTGTTTAGGATGTTAGGATGGAACAGGCTGTTTAGGATGAAACTGGAGAAAAAAATCAGTTGTGGAGATATCATGAACTTTTATTTTCTTTCATGTGAATAAATATGGCTTTCATGCATTTGCACATGATCAGTAATACAATTCACATTTGTTTTTTCTATTTGTTCTTTTTGCAGATTTTCCTCTTGAAACTGTGATGGTAGAAATAATGTATCATCTACTTTTAGTTAATTGCAAACATTAAAAATCCAGGGTTTTTTTTTTTTTTTTTTTTAGGTAAACCTGCTAATTTTATTAAAACATAAAAGAATTACATCCTAAAAATAGCACTCCCTTTTACACAGGCGAGGACCTTGGACATGCCCAAGGGACCAAACTACACAAAAAGAAACAAGAGCAACCAAGTATATACAATCCTTATACACAAACAGTAAGACTACACAAGACAACCAAACTGAAGCCTTCACCTAGAAACTGCAGAAAATGCAGCAATCATGTTGCACCTCCATACATACCATTGTCCAGATCACTACTACAATTCAAGCACACACCACCTGGCACATACTGCCCAAGACTCCTGGAGACTACATAAATAAACTGCAACCTGCACACCTGCTCAATCTACATAGTGCAAAAACTACAACATGCCCAGGCTTCTTATCCAGCACCCACCAATCTACACCAGCTGCATAGAAATCATGGCCTCACATAAAATGCCGAAATCTAAAGCAATAATGCATAGCCATAGTAACTACCTGACAATCCAGCTGAAGCTTGGGCTGCCTCCATTACCTATTAAGACCAAACCAATTATATTAAGAACTATCACAAGCTTTAAAGTAACAATTCTAAAATCTAAGCTCCACGCAAATGTTCAAAAAAATGTTGACAGACATACCAGCTGCAAATTTAAAGCAAAAGAAACACAATGATGCATTTTTTACTGGGATAAAGTCTCAATAAACAAGTCATGCGGTTTAAAAACAATAACAATATACAGTTTAAAAATGAAAAATAAAAAATAAATGCTACAGTATAGAGATTTATATATTTAATAAACAGCCCCCACCTTGGCTTAGCCTTCTAGCTTAAATCCATCATTATGATGAACTGTGAGTTTCTTAGATCACAATTAATCATAATTAGTCAAGCATTTTGCTGCTTCACTAATTCCTTACATTTGTTTCCATCTCCTTGATAGACTTGAATGCTATAGGCAAAAGTCAATATCGTATTCTTTAATGAGAGTACCCGAAGCCATAATATTGAACAACATTTTACCCTACGACTTTCTAAGCATATCAAGAAGTCTATGACAATAGAAGAAAATAAATATGAAGCAAATCACATCCCCATAAGTTCAAATATTGAGGCAAATCATGGAAAGTTGAATTCATCAGATAGCACCGACTAACCAGTAAACCAAGCCCCAAGACCAAATTCAAAATAGTTGCTTAAAAAAACAATAACTATATAAATGCATTTCATCTGCATCGAATCTTAACAAAAAAATTTTGAACATTCAAAGAAAAAATCACCTTATCATTATTGCTATCTGGTTCTGTATCTGTCCTAGTTACTCTACAAACAATCTCTTTCTTCTTCCTGCAAAATATACATTAAACATAGTACTTCATTACTTGGGAAACCAAAAAAATAAATAAATTAAGAAACAAAACAAACTAAAAATGTTACCTTGAAAAAAACTGGCAAAACAACAGCATTCCACGCGAGGAACATGTAAAGAAGCTAAAAATGGCTGAAGAGGAACATGGCAGCAAGAACTACACTGGCAGCAAACTCAAGTTCCCGCAAAAACTTACTGTGAAATTCATGTTTCTAATCGAAAAACCAAATGCTTTAGTTGGATTGAAGCAACATTGAAAAGTTCGGAGATCTTAAGGTTTTCGGGTGTAAATTTGGAGATTTTTTTGAAATCTTATCTTGACACTGAACAACATTTCGAGAGTCTATGAAGATAAGGGGGAGAGGACGAGCTGGAGGGGAAAGAGAGCTCAAGTGGTGGCAGGAGAGGCCGCGAGAGAGAGAGAGGAAAGGAGATTTGAACTTTAGGGTTTGCCAATGAATTTTGGGATTAAGATTTGATTCATTGAGTAACGCTGAATTTTGAAATTTAGGGTTAGAGAATTTTTTTATTTTTTTTTATTTTTTGGGGGAGTGACTTGGCATCTGGATGAGGTGGCAGATGAGGTGGCATCTGCCATGTCATGTTGTAAAAGGATGTTGTAATGACTGCTTTCTACTCGTATTCTCATAAAATATGCATAGTAAAATACATGTAAAATAGTATAAAAAGTTGGGCCCAAATTTTTCTTTTATTAAACATATACATTCTTTGTACAAACTCATATCATATACAAAACTATGAACAATAAAGTGGATAGTGTAGCCATTTTCCTTCGCTTGCCGACATCCATTCGACCGTGTCCTCACCTAGATCCTGCAAAAACATAGGGAACAACGGGGTGAGCATAAAACAATGCTCAGTAAGTAAATCCTCTACTAATCTATCCCTGTAACTCTTTCTCCTCAATTCTGTCCTTAAAATTCCCATTACTGTCTTTGCTTTCTCTCTCTTTGTTTCTTTTTCTCTTTTCTATTAACTCTGTCTCTAGCAAGTCACGACCCCATCTGACCAGAGGCACGATTGGGACTCACTCCCACTCTCCATGACTTTTCCTCATTCTAGCCGATCGGACTTGGTTATGCATGGATTCGGAACACTTGGCCATGTGAGTGTATAAAACTCTCTCTCTTGGGTAAACTCGGGTATAGTCCTCATCCGCATGCACTCTCACGGGCTACACCACTTCTCTCTCATACTCATGCCACTCTCTCAATGCGGCGTACATACGGGAATACTCTACCCATACTCACAGGTTCCCCATCGCATAACCTACTCTATTCTCTTATCTAGCACTACTTTCTCTTTGTTCTCTAGTGCTCATTCTCTCTTTCTCTCTACTCTTAGAGTAGTTTAAACTCAATTTCTCTACTCTCTTCTACTCTCTTTTCTAATGCATATTTAATGCATGATTAATGCACATATGTGACTCATGTTCATTAATGCACTTATGAGATGCAATTATGCTATGTAGCAAAAATTAAGGCTTACTACTCTTACTCATGCTTCTCTTGAGCATTTCATCATACAACTCATGTGCATATAAAACTCTACTTAAACAATAACTTTTCTCTTTTCTTGAACCTTCCCAATATGGGAGAAAACTCTCTCATAAACTTCTAATTTCCTGTCAATAAAACAAACACTTCTAAAGAGTTTACTCAAATTCCCTTCAACTTCAATCAAACTCAACTCAACACCATAAAATCTCCACACTTCTCATATTCCAATACATTCAATACTCATTAATAACTATAATCTCATCTCATCTCATCTCAATTTCTCAATGACCATAAGATATACACATGCATACATAAGTCTCTACTTAAAAGAGTTCTTAAATCTCCACTTGAGTTGGATTTACTTACCTTGTGAGGAAATAGCTTCTCTAATACTTCTCCTTTCCTTTGGTAACTTGATTTCTCTCTACAACTTTAAAACAACAACAAAAACAATAATAACAATATAAGACTTCAATATAACCATAAGCAAAACTCACATCTAAAGCAAGAATCCTTACCTTAGGATGCTTTAGATGAAATCTCTACTCAAAATTACTCAAAAGCTCTCTTAAACCCCTTAGAAATCTTAGGAAAATTGAATGGAAGATTGAGAGAAATCAGTTTCTTTCCCATTTTGCCCTTGCTCTTTCTTGGAAATTCCATCTATATCTTTTGATTCATTTCACTCACACCCCCATACTAACCTATTCTCCATGAAATTTCCTTACAGTTTACTCCCCACTTTTCCTACTAATTAGGGGTAGAATGGTCATTGTGCCCCAAAGGAAGAATTCTCTAGAAACTCATTAAACTTTTCAACTGACTCGTCGCCGCGGCGAAGAAACTTCCGTCTCCCTGGCGAAAAGTTACAGAGTCGACACTGTCTTACTCAAGCCAACGTCACCTCGACGAAGACTGGAATTCTAAGATTCCTCAAAACTCAATCAATTTCAAGACAAACACTCAACCAACTCAACATACAAACTCAATTAAAACTAAATCAATAAACATTTAAGCCATACAACAAATCTTAAGTACGTACCTCAAGTGGGGCGTTACAGATGTTGTAAGGGAGTGATGTTTGTGTAGTGTTATTGCACAAGTATTACCTCTATTTTTTTTTCTTATCCGTCTAGTTTATGCGCATTTCAATAAGATTTATTAAATATCTTACAAGTCCAAAAGAGCAGATAAGTTATAGTATTTCAATAAGATTTATTGAATATCTTTCAAGTCTAAATGAACAGATAAGTTACAATATTATTATAGTAGATAACCCCAATATTTGAACTTAGAAACTAAAAAAAAGAAATAAACCTCTTTGACTATCAGATCAACCCCTCCAGGTTTATTATCTATAATTTCATATATCATTCTTCTTGTTATTATAAAGTAATGTTTAATTAATATTATTATTATAATAATTATGGTATTAAATTAGTTTATAAAATTTGCTTTTTTAATAGTATTAAAAACGTTTAAAGGAGATTTTTATTTTAAGGTTAATTAGGTGAGTAGGTAACTATCGTGGCAACTAAATACCCTATCTTGTTTTAATCATGGCTTAGTATATAAGATTTTGTCTCTTCAGTTTGGAAGTTTTTATCCTCTTTTTTTTTTTTTTTTAGTAAACGACGTGTTCTCACTAGGGGTGGGAGAAATAATCTGAAAACCAAACCAAACCAAAAATTAGGGCTTCGTTTGGTTCAAAATTTGGGGGTTTTGGGAAACGTTTTTTGAAAAAAGTTAAAAAAAAGTTGAATTGGNAACAAACAGTCACTCTTTATGAAAGTGAGATACAATAAAATAAACCAAGGATAAGACTTATATCCAGAGTTTGCATTTGTTCCACAAACTACAGTAGAATCTAACTAAAATCAGTCAAGAACAAACTGAAATAAATAACTTATGCTCTTCCATCAAGCAAACTTCAATTTGATTACAAAAAAAAAAATACCAAACAAACAACAGAGAGCAGATAAGAAACGGCAAATTTGATGTTTTGACTGGATAAAACACACATCTGGTATCCCCAGTTCTATAAATAAACAAATTGTGGCCTAAAGAAAAGGTAAATCAAAACTAATCATGAATAATTATTACACAAAGTCCATCTTATTACCACATAAGCAAATTAATCATCAAGCATTATCCACAGTACCTGATCAAGCTTGTAATAGCCTTCCTTGTCCGTGATAGACCTCTCATGACCATCAACTAATATTTTAACTCCCTCCACTCCCATGTCATTTTCATCAACTACGCGACCTCCAACAGAAAATCCTGTGACCTTCAAAAATTTAAAAGAACAAAAAAATACATAACTGAATTAATTCATATAATCAGGTGGAATTAAGGACTAAAAAACATTGTCAATACTGCTGAAGAATTTAAAAAGAGAAGGAAAAAAGTGGCTCCCCATCAAAGATATAAGAAATTCCACGGTTAGGGCACAATTTACGATATCCACATTCCAATATCATAAGATGGATGACTAACTCATACCAAGCAGTAGCATACAAGGACTAACCAGATAGAAACAGGCTCATGTAAGAAGAATGCACATTATGAATCCTTCATACGAGCGATTAACCATCTTACCTGGAACTTTTCAGGAACAGTTACATGTTGATGCTTAACAGAAACTGAGATGCGAGCAGGAGAAACATCAAATACGGTATTCTCACCCTTGTAGTAGGGTACAAGTTCGTAAACTCCTGTAAGTAATCAACATCATAAGGCATTAAATCAATAGAAACACAAAATAATTGCCAATATGCAAGATAATGCTCCCATTTAATTTCTGCTTAAAAAAATATATGAATCCAGCTAATTTTGGTGTGTCACCTACAGAAACGGTAATAAAGTAGATGGTTCCATAAGTGGGAAATAAAAACATCCATTGAACATAAATGTGAATCTAACCATCTAATCCAGGATGTTATAAGTTGCTTTAATCTTTATTATTTCTTTTCATCCATGGAAACATCAGATTCTGTAATTATGTTAGATATGAAGATCACATATTGTTTTCAATTTAATTCACGTTCCTTCAATAGCATATGAGAAAGTCAAGCAGCTAAAAAATAAAACAATGTGACTTAAAGCTCTGAGTTACAGGAACCCTGAATCCCAAAACAACAAAAAACCTATTCAAGTTCTTAATGTCTCGTCAGAAAACTAAAACATTTTCATTCATGGACATCATCTCTATCCTCTTTATATTTGCCAAACCAGAAAAAAGAAACAGTTAAACTTCTGCACCTTTTGCTAAAGACAGTTTACGCTAGAACTAGTTCAAGCAAAGAAAAAATAATGTGATGCAAGACACTGGAAGCACGGATGTAAATGAAACAAATTCAACAGTGACCAAAATGACTAAATTTGAAGCAATTCAAAGCTTTCCAGAATGCATTTTTAACTTGCTTGTTATTATATAAACAGCATAAACAGAATTAACATTAGGAATAGAATTACCGCAAGGTATTGATTTAAAGGTGAACTTTCCATCTGCATCAGATATGGCATGACAGAGAGCTTTTCTTTGTCCCGAGGAATTACCAGAACCTAGGGGACAGTCTACCTCAACAACATCATCTGAATATAAATATAAATGAACTCCCAAGATTGGATTTCCCTATCAGGACAATAAAAGTGGCATCCAGTTATCAATAAAAACCACAACATAACACATTTTCAGATGATAATTGGTCTACAGCCAAACTTAACACTTCCAAATTTGAATAAATAAAACTTTCTACGCAGAATGTATAGGAATTGATGATAAAAATTATATTCTTAAATCATTTACCAAAAAATGACCTATCTCCAAAGAGAATTACCATATTAAAAATAAAGGAGAAAGGTGTTCATATATAAGAATACATTAAAAATAAGCAAAAATTCAAACAAAACTTATAAGAAATACAGATAAAAATGCAGTTTCATGCAACTGCTGCCTCCAAATACCTGAGCAACAACAAACCCACGAATGTCATACCCAGGGACAAAGAAAATATCATCAACTACACCATTTTCAAACCCCAGTTGCACCTGCAAGAACATGTACATATGATTCAATTTCAAAATTCTGTATATTTACCAGAAAAAACATGGCATGCAAATTTATGAGTGGCAAAGGAGAGAAGGAAGAAGAAGAAGTGGTTTAAATGCCCAAAAGGGAAAAATAAAACTGAAACATAGCATCCAACCTCCGTGGAACCTCTAACTTCAACTCTCAAATCAGGATGTGACGCATGTAGTTTGTATTTTCCTGCACCAAAAGAGCCATGTTGTTGTTAGAATATGTGTACGGCCGTGTGTGCCAAAAATAACAACACAGGCCCTTTATACCAGGAATAATATTTTTGAACAAGTAACTGCCTCCAGATGATGTTACAGCTGATGATATGAGATCACCATCATGAGAGAGAAGTTCAACATTCACATTTGAAGGACCACCATCTTTTACCAAACAGCTCTCTCCACCAACAGCTCCCACAACTCTACCAGAGATGGTAAAGCTACAATACATAAACATGTGAACAGTGAATTACAAATATATCTGGCATGAGCATGAGCACTGAACTCCAGTTGAACATAAAATGAAACTGAGATCAAATTATGAATAATGCTTAACGAACCCTGTGAAACGAAAATTAATGTCTTCGTTACCATTGCAACCAGTATCATCAACAGTGACTGGCACCTACAAATTAATTTTCTGTGGGGTTAAAAATCAAGCAAATTAAATAATATAAAAGATGTGTCAGAAGAGAAGCACAATGCATAAGAAGTTTGCGTAAATATCAATGAAATTACTAACTTTATCTGGGTCCCATGACCATCCTTCTGGTCCATTGACTTTAATTACAAATGAACCCTGCAAATAGAAATAGAAGTGATCAGGTGAACCAAGCAATATAAGCAGAAACTGGATGTGTCACACAAACATAAAGCAGATATGCCTGTTAAGTTTTAAAAAGGAAATTTCAATAAATCAAGAGCAAAGTTTACAGAGCTGTAAGCCAAAGCATGATAAAGATAAACAAAGCAGATCTAAACCACAAAATAAGCTCATGAAATCAAGCATATTGCATTTACAAAATATCATTTCACATAAACTACCCGTGCAATTCGCAAATCTTCTTGCCATAGCATAGCAAGATTGTAGGAGGCACTTGATTGTGTTAAGTCAGACTCCAATATTTACAAAACAGATGCTCAAAGATTATACGCAATCAAAGAGAACACAAGTGAAAGGCTCCTGAAAAACCGCACATGGACGGCAGCATCTTCCAGAAAGTGAAATGCAAACTTACAATAATCCCTCCCAATTCAAATTACAAACCAACCAATTATGATGAGTGGAAAATCTGAAAGCACACTCATTTATGTCCGAAAGAACCATGCTAAAACAACCTAATGAATTTGTATTCTGATTTATTTTTTTCTTTAATACCTAGAAATCCTTTGAACTTTCAAACATGCTCAATAGGTCCATACTACAACCTCGGTAATTAGATAACTTGTGGGATACCATGTCCTAAGCAGGTGGCACAAAGGGATCTGAACCATGGACCTCTTTGTCGAAAACTTTACCACTTAACCAACTATTGGTGTTAAACTCATACTTTACAATCTGCAAGGCAGACTAGTCGTTCTATTGTGTTCAAAAGCTTGTTTGAAAAAGACCATGGCGAAACAATAATTACTTAAATAACATCGCTCCATCCATTAATGCAAGAATAAACATTGTTGAAAAATACCTTATCATACACGGGAATGAAGTAATAACCATTGGGAGCACACTGCGTACTGTCCTTCACCAATCCATCAACCGTGCGTAGTTCAACCTAAAGATTGAAAAGACAGATTATCATATCCTAACAATGAGTTTCAAGATCCATGTTGTAGAGTTTCAAGATTCCTGTAGAAGAGTTTCAAGATTCTTCTACACGGAGTAGAATCGGAAATTCAATAGATAACATTTGATTAGTAATAAACAGTAGTGATACTTACAGTGACACGAGAATAATCCAACCTTGAATCAGTCGCCTTCCTCGACTTTATCAGTGACGAACTCGCCTATAAAACAGCAATTCTTGATTAGAAGAGTAGTGGTCCGTACAGTGAACATAAATAAAATTAAAAAATGAGATCAAGAAAGTTAGATCCGCAGTCTCTTGTTCGGTTTAATTAAGCTTCAGTAAACCAAAAAGATGTGAATTAACAATTTCCACTCCAAGAATCTTGGTTAAAGATTCTTGATTGCCTTTCTTGCGTATTCTTGATAACAATGTGCAGAACAAGTGGAGGACGCAATTAGGGTAAAGATTCACCTCGACGAAGCCACCACAACCGTGAATCGAATCAGCGGAGACGGCTGAGATAGTGTAAATGACGATCAGGGAATATATTAGAACGTCCCTGATCTTCATTTCTTGAGTTTTCTTTGCGAAGTGATGTTTGTTGCTTGACAAGAGTGTTATGAATTGGTGAGAGAGCGGATCCAGTGCTTTACATAAGAGTTATAAAATAATCACTCGGTAAAGGCACTACTCTCGTCTTGGCTTGTTTGTTTTAATTAAAGGGTTTACATGGGTTTTGAATGAGCTTGCGCCCGAGTCTCACTTAAGCATAGTCCGAAGACTCCGAACAAATAATAAGACGGGCTGGATGGTTCGGGTCGGGTATAACGGTACAGGCGAATGCTCGACAATTAATTATCACTATAATAAAGTTACGGAGACAGGCAAGCAATTGTTTCAATGATCTTTGAGCCGATTGGTGATATTTGCTAAATAGATAATGTTATTTAGACCTGTTGGTACATAAATATCAATAACACTACACAAACATCACTCCCTTACAACATGACACGTCAATCATATGTCGTGTCACTTCCCTTCAAAAATTTAAAAAAAAAAAATTCTCACAATCACAAATTCCAAATTTGATTTCCCCGGAATCCAAATCCTAAATCAATTTCATTTTCACTCAAATTCGAACCCTAAAGTTTTTCCCAGATTTCCTTTCAATTTTTAGCACAATCCCCAATCTCAGGCGAAACGCAGTCGCCACCACAGCCGCACCAGGTCGACCTCTGCACCAGCTCCGTTGGGTATTCATCTGTCAGGTCTACGGAATTTCGACCACCTTGATTGTGTTGACCACTTTGGTTTCCTCCATCACCTTCTCTACTCTTCCATCAACGACCTCCTGAGGAGCAATTCTAGCCTTCTCCCTTTCCTCTCACTGCTCCCTTTCATCCGTATGTCCATCATATCCCTTATTTCTCTCTCTGTCTCTATATCTTTTATTTTCTTAATTCTGATATGATTAAGAAAATAAAAGAGACAGTCAAAAATGGGTGGCGAAAGACTGCAGCTTCTCAAATTCACAAACTGGAGAAAGGCTTTCTCCCTTTCCTCTCACTGCTCCCTTTCATCCGTATGTCCATCATGTCCCTTATTTCTCTCTTTCTCTCTTTGTCTCTGTCTCTTTTATTTTCTTAATTTTCTTAATTCTGATAGGATTAAGAAAATAAAAGAGACAATAAAAAATGATTAGCGAAAGACTGCAGCTTCTCAAATTCACAAAGTGGAGAAAGACTTTCACCCTTTCCTCTCACTGCTGCAGTCTTTCGCCACTCACGGTCTATCTATGTCTCTTTTATTTTCTTAATTGTGAATTTCAAAATTTGTCCCCACCTCATTTTTTACTGTGAGAAAGACTGCAAAAATCAGAATTTGTGCAGTCTTTCTCACAGTAACAAATGAGGTGGGGACAAATTTTGAAATGAATTTGTGCAGTCTTTCTCCACTTTGTGAATTTGAGAAGCTGCAGAAAAGTTGTTGTTTAGGACAGAGCTAATTTGTTCAGTCTTACGCCACTGGATGGAATATAGGAATAACATGTTTATTGATTCGTTTGGAGTTTGGAATGGATGGCAACATGTTCGTGCTTTCTTGTTTTCATTACTCCTTTTTTCAAATTGAACTTCATTCCCTTAAGAGTTTAATGAAATTTATGATATGATAATGCATTTGGACCATTGATATTAATATGCAATTTTATGCTACTTTTTCTTGTGATTTGAATTACTCTTGCAATGAATGAATGGGAGCTAATTGGAGTAAGTTGATGATGGGTACGGTAGATAGCATGCATGCATGTTTGTGACATATATGAAAACAGGAAAGCACGAAAATATTGAGTGAACTATTTTTGTTTATTTAGCTAATTATAGGTTTTATTTTTTGAAGCAGATTTTTAGTACTAACAGAATTTTTTATTAACTCTGCCGCCACCACCAACCTCAATCGCACCACGACCACTCCTAACCACACCACCATCGTAAACTGTCGTCATTTGCTCTTCCTCTTCCACCACCACCCTCAAAGATGGAAGAGTGCAGTCAAAAAAGTTCAGAGAACTATTCTGCTCAATTCAATGTCGTAGAGGTAATTTAGTCTTTGCAATCTCTTTTTATTTGTTAATATGAATTTAATTTAATTTAATATTATTTATACCCTTTTTTAAGTATGATTATATTCTAATTTTGGTTATTATAATATCAATAAATTAGGATAATCACTTTCAAGAAATAGAAGATACAAGAAACGCAGAAAAGGATTGGGAGCCTAAGCCTGGAATGGTTTTTGATTCATTTGATGAGCTTTTACAATACTACAAAAGCTATGGGAACAAAAGAGGTTTTGAAGCTATTATAAGATCTTCAAGGAAAGGAGATGATGGAGAGTTGAGATATGCAACCTTGGCTTGTTCTTATAGCGGGAAGTGGAACAATAACTCTAGAAATGCCTTTAAAATGCATCCGGTGACAAAAACTGATTGTAAGGCTCACATTACTACATCTCTACATTCTAATGGAAAATGGCAAATATTGTCAATTGTCATTGATCATAACCATGAACTTAGTAGTCCTGGAAAAACAAGATATTTTAAGAGCAATCAAATTATACAACCATATGTGAAAAGGAAGATTGAATTGAATGACGAGGCTAGGATTAGACTAAACAAGAACTTCAATTCCTTGTTAGTTGAAGCTGGCAGTGGTGAGAATTTGCCTTTCCTACAAAAAGATTATAGAAACTACATTGAAAAAGTTAGGAGGCTACAACTTGGTGTTGGAGATGCTTCTACAATCCAAAAATATTTTCTGAAAATGCAAAATGAGAATTTGAATTTCTTCTACATAATGGATTTAGATGAAGATGGTCGATTAAAGAATGTTTTATGGGTGGACGCAAGAAGTAGGGCCGCATTTAAAGAATTCGGTGATATTGTGACATTCGACACTACATATTTGACTAACAAGTATGATATATCATTTGATGCTTTTGTGGGTGTTGATCATCATGGCCATTCAATACTGTTAGGTTGTGGATTAATCTCCAATGAGGACACAAAGACGTTTGTTTGGCTATTTCAATCTTGGCTTGTATGTATGTTGAATTGTGCTCCTAAGGCAATAATCACTGATCAAGATAAGGCAATGCAAAATGCAATCGAGATTGTGTTCCCTGGCACACGACATAGATGGTGTTTGTGGCATATAATGAAAAAATTGCCCGAAACGTTAAGAGGTTATAGTCAATATGAATGTATTAAATTTTCTTTGCAAAATGTCGTGTATGATTCATTGACATGTAAGGAGTTTGAAGAACGGTGGAATATGTTCATTGATAAATACAACCTTCATGATAATGGTTGGTTACTTGGATTGTATAATGAAAGACGACGTTGGGTGCTAGCTTTTGTAGAAGACACTTTCTGGGCAGGTATGTCTACTACTCAACGCAGTGAAAGTATGCATGCATTCTTTGATGGATATGTTAATTCAAAAACCACTTTAAAACAGTTTGTGGAGCAATATGAGAATGCATTGCAGGATAAAGTAGAAAAGAAAGGGAGGCTGATTTTAAATCTTTTAGATCATGGATCCCTTGCATAATGACTTATGCTATTGAGAAACAATTTCAAGATGCGTATACCACTGCGAAATTCAAAGAGTTTCAACGAGAGCTAGCGGCTAAGATCTATTATGATTTATCTTCTTTCAAAGAGACTGATTCCTGTATGGAATTTATAATAGAAGAAGATGTTGTGGTTGGAGAGACTCATCGTCGTGTTCCTTTTATGGTTTGCTTTGATGAAGCAACTTGTGACATTCGATGCAATTGTCGGTTGTTTGAGTTTAGAGGAATTTTATGTCGGTATGCAATTATGGTGTTGATTCATAATGTACCAGAAAAGTACATTTTAAGGTGGTGGAGTAAAAATATAAACAGATGTCATACCAAGGTTAGGATAAGTTACAATAGTTGGAACACCACCCTTGAAGGACAACGATTTGATCAGATGTGTAATTTATTCTCTACGGTAGCAGATTTGGCATCAAGCAATGAGGATGATTGTAATATGGTGATAGAAATTATCAACGATATGAAAAACAGATTGATGTCGAATGAAAGTGTTGGTGGAATTGGTAAAAGACTAAATGTGTCAACTAGTAGCAGAACGAATTGTGAAGGTGTTGATGATACTACTAAAGAGGGGAGCAGTAACATTCTTACTCCACGTGCTGTGCGAAGCAAAGGTCGCCCTCCATTCAAAAGAAAGCAATCAAAGCTTGAACAAATTGTTCGTAAAGAGAAGAAATTGCGAAAGCAATAAATTGATTAAAAAAGCTGAAGGTGAAAATTTAGTAATTATCAATTTTGTTGACTATTTTATTATTCTTTTTTTCTATTTATTGATAACTAACACAACTTGTGTTATATGATTGTAGGATTGCTGGATTATGGTGGTCTTTGGTGCTGTGTAGTGTTTTTGCTTTGTAGGCAGGATGCATGAGCCTATTTTTTGATGGCTTTTGTTGGCTCCTTTTGTATAGAGTTGATAGGGTCTATTGTGTACAGGAATTGTTTATCCTTCCTTGCCCTTTTCTTTTTTGTTTCATTCTCTGTGGGCATATCTATTGTGTATAAGGATTGTTTATCCTTCCTTGCCCTTTTCTTTTTTTGTTTCATTCTCCTTAGGTATGCCTAAGGTGATTGCTCTTAAGGGGAGTCCCCTTTGTTGACTATTATTCTTTTATTCCTTATAAAATTACTAGGATTACCAAAACAAAAAAACAAAAAACTTAAGCAATGTATTGGATTTTGTTAAATGTTCAATGTGGATCTTGATTCTTATTTTATTTTTATTTTTTCTTTGATTTGTGATGCTGTAATTATGGGTTTATGGCCTACAATTGCCTGATCTTTTGGAGTTGACTGATCTTGGATTTTGTTAAATGTTAAATGTTCAAGTATTGATCTTATGGGGTAGGTAAGTTATTTATTATTGTGTTGATGCTTAAGTTGGTGTTTAAGTTGATGTTTCATTGTTCTTCATAATTTTGACTTGTTATCATTGCTGGTCAGACATTTGGTCAAAGTGGAAATCAAGCCAAATTTGGTCCTTAGTGCTGAGAAGGAACTTGGTATCATTGCTGGTCTTCAAGATCGAGTGGCACAAGTCTATGGTAGCCTTGTTTACATGGTATGTGATGTTCATGCATATATGTTCAAATGCTCATAAATCTGATGCATGTCTTTTTATTTATAATCTGATGCATATATGTTCAGTGCTGAGAAGGAATTTTAGTTTTCCACGTATTTCCTTTCTATTTATAATCTGATGCATGTCTTTTTTCTGTTTATAATCTGATGCATATATGTTCAGTGCTGAGAAGGAATTTTAGTTTTCCATGTATTTTCCTTTCTATTTATAATTTGATGCATGTCTTTTTTCTATTTATAATCTGATGCTTGTCTTTTTTCTGTTGCAATCTTTCTCAATTTGCTGGATGGGAAGCTTGGGCAGTTTCTGCTGCAGCTGAAGAATTTGAGAAGTTGCAATCTTTCTCCAGTTTGTGCGGAATTTGAAAAAATCAGAATTTGTGCAGTCTTTCTCCACTTTGTGAATTTGAGAAGCTGCAGAAAAGTTGTTGTTTAGGATGTTAGGACGGAGTTTGTTAAATTGGACTTATTGTTTAGGATGTTAGGATGGAACAAGCTGTTTAGGATGAAACTGGAGAAAAAATCAGTTGTGGAGATATCATAAACTTTTATTTTCTTTCATGTGAATAAATATGGTTTTCATGTATTTGCACATGATCCGTAATACAATTCACATTTGTTTTTTCTATTTGTTCTTTTTGGTACCAGAGATAAGCCAGCTCTTCCTCTTGAAACTGTGATGGTAGAAATAATGTATCATCTGCTTTTAGTTAATTACAAACATTAAAAATCCAGGTTTCTTTTTTTTTTTTAGGTAAACCTGCTAATTTTATTAAAAAATAAAAGAATTACATCCTAAAAATCGCACTCCCTTTTACACAGGCGAGGACCTTGGACATGCCCAAGGGACCAAACTACACAAAAAGAAACAAGAGCAACCAAGTATATACAATCCTTATACACAAACAATAAGACTGCACAAGACAACCAAACTGAAGCCTTCACCCAGAAACTACAGAAAATTCAGCAATCACGCTGCACCTCCATACATACCACTGTCCAGATCAGTACTTCAATTCAAACACGCACCACCCTGCACATACTGCCCAAGACTCCTGGAAACTGCATAAACAAACTGCAACCTGCACACCTGCTCAATCTACACAGTGCAAAAATTACAACATGCCCAGGCTTCTTATCCTACACCCACCAATCTACACTAGCTGCCTTCACCCAAAAACTGCAGAAAATGCAGCAATCACGCTGCACCTATATACATACCACTATCCATATCACTACTTCAATTCAAGCACACACCACCCTGCACATACTGCCCAAGACTCTTGGAAACTGCATAAACAATCCATTTTACACAGGCAAAGACCTTAGACATGCCCAAGGGATCAAACTACACAAAAAGAAACAAGAGCAACCAAGTATATACAATCCTTATACACAAACAGTAAGACTACACAAGACAACCAAACTGAAGCCTTCACCTAGAAACTGTAGAAAATTCAGCAATCACATTGCACCTCCATACATAGCACTGTCCAGATCACTACTTCAATTCAAGCACACACCACCATGCACATACTGCCCAAGACTCCTGGAAACTGCATAAATAAACTGCAACCTGCACACCTGCTCAATCTACATAGTGCAAAAACTACAACATGCCCATGCTTCTTATCCGGCACCCACCAATCTACACCAGCTGCACATAAATCATGGCCTCACATAAAATGCAGAAATCTAAAGCAACAATGCATAGCCACAGTAACTACTTGACAATCCAACTGAAGCTTGGGCTGCCTCCATTATCTATTGAGACCAAACAATTATATTAAGAACTATCACAAGCTTTAAAGTAACAATTCCAAAATCTAAGCTCCACGCAAATCAGAAATAAATACTTGCACACCACCACCTAGACCATTTGTTTCTATATCATTGCTAGTTATCTGATTCACATCATCAAGCTTCGAATCAAGCTCAGGTTTATCATTTTTCTAAGGGGTATCAGCGGCAGGTGGGTTTGCCCCATCTTCATTTATTTGCTTTTCTTGTATATATTCATATAAACTTCAATATCAATTAACGAAACACAAACATTTGATAAAAGAGTATGCTTTGTAGGGCCAAAACCAAGCCCCAAGACCAAATTCAAAATAGTTGCTTAAAAAAACAATAACCATACAAATGCATTTCATCTGCATCGAATCTTAACAAAAAAAAAATTGAACATTCAAAGAAAAAATCACTTTATCATTATTGCTATCTGGTTCTCTATCTGTCCTAGTTACTCTACAAACAATCTCTTTCTTCTTCCTGCAAAATATACATTAAACACAGTACTTCATTACTTAGGAAACCAAAAAAATAAATAAATTAAGAAACAAAACAAACTAAAAATATTACCTTGAAAAAAACTTGCAAAACGACAGCGTTCCACGCGAGGAACATGTAAAGAAGCTAAAAATGGCTGAAGACGAACATGGCAGTAAGAACTACACTGGCAGCAAACTCAAGTTCCTGCAAAAACTTGCTGTGAAATTCATGTTTCTAATCGAAAAACCAGAAGCTTTAGTTGGATTGAAGCAACATTGAAAAGCTCGGAGATCTTAAGGTTTTTGGGTGTAAATTTGGAGATTTTTTTGAAATCTTATCTTAACACTGAACAACTTTCGAGAGTCCATGAAGATAAGGAGGAGAGGATGAGCTGGAGGGGAAAGAGGGCTCAAGTGGTGGTAGGAGAGGTCGCGAGAGAGAGAGGAAAGGAGATTTGAACTTTAGGGTTTGCAAATGAATTTTAGGATTAAAATTTGATTCATGGGGTAACGGTAAATTTTGAAATTTAGGGTTAGAGAAATTTTATTTTTATTTTTTGGGGGAGTGACTTGACATCTGGCTGACGTGGCAGATGAGGTGGCATCTGCCACGTCAGCTACCATGTCATGTTGTAAGAGGATGTTGTAAGGGAGTGATGTTTGGGTAGTGTTATTGCATAAATATACACTAAATAGAGTGATTCGATCGATTTTGACGGGATCGAAATCGATATATGCGTAATTACGGGTAATCAACGATTAAAAACAATGAATGCAATAATATAAATAACAAAGATATTTTTAAAGTGGTTCGGCGAGATAAACTCTTGAGCCTACGTTTATTATGTTTGTATTTGTTATGAGAGCTTACAATTAGAGTTATATGAAAATTTTATAACTCATTTTCCATCGTTGTAAGGGGTTTATATACAAGATTTATTGAAAGGAAAGAGCGAAAATAAAGGGATTACAATTGATTCGAAATGCAATTCCAATATTCTCGCAATTGGGCGTTGTGATTGAGCAGAGATTACTGTTGATCTAGTCTTCCCCACAATATCTGGGATATGAAGTTATCAAGAATCGATTGAGTGATCATTCGGGTTGTTCGCGACTAGCTTATGCTGGGTCGAGCTGAATGCCGACAAGCTTATGCTAGGTCGGACAACCGGTGAAATCGAGCTGATACCGAGTCGAGCTATATCCTCGCAATATCCCAAGCTGGGTGGAAAAATCATACACAATATCTGCCCCGTAATGTTTGAGGCTCGTTCTGAGCTTCGAAGACTACTGCCCGATTTGATGGCAAGCTCGGAATGATAACTGGTCATTGGATGTGGGTTTGGTCGAGCTCATGTCCGATCGACGTGCTTCACACTTGTTTACTTCCAATGATACCTGTCAAACTTAGAATATCAAAAGTTAGGGCAAACATGTAATTTCTATGCAGTCACGGTGCATAAAATGCGACAACCTTTTGTCAGTCACGTTTCGTTACACGTGAGAGACTGCAGCTGTCCACGCGCGAAGTCGAGGCGACGTGTGACGACGATTATCAGTATAACAATTTGACGGTTTGTTGCCCCCAACGGATAGTGGACACGTGACCACGCCTAAAAGCTAAGATTGCTCGACGAATGAAGGGTCAAGATTCACTACAACTTGACAGTTACGATCAAACCTTGCCCTTTTGTCTCCCATGCAAGCTACTATAAAAGGTGGCGAAGTCGTCAAAATCCTCATTCAGTCCATGAAAGTTTTCTGGCATTCTTGTGCATTCCTCTATTGTTTTATCATTATCATGGCGCTCTTCCCGGCGATCCTCTACGCTTCTCTCACTCCGGTAAGGTTCTTTTCCCTTTCTTTTCCTGTTTTTCTGGTTTTCACATCAAAGGGTGGTCACTGTAGTGGCCACGTTAAGCGTTTTAGGGTTTTCATGTGAGTCTCTAACGGTTTTGGCTTTAAGAAGGGTTTAACGTGGTGGCTGTCGGGACTCTGAGTAGGTCATGCGCTTTCATAGTATGGCACGTATAACGAGGAGAATTATTGCCAAGAGTTGATAGAGTTCACCTTGAGCCTCATATACCACCTCTTGGCATCCCCTACCAATGTGACTGCGAAGCATCGACATTTCGCTAAGTCATTGACCTGGTGTAGCTCCATCAGTTCATTGAAGTTGTCGAGGTGATCTCTGGGGTCCCTGCTTCCGTCAAACTTGCTCTCTAGCACCTTGAATCCTTGTGAAAGCGGGGTTTGACGAACTTCCTCTGTGAAAGGGGAACTTACTATTTCCTTCGTCGTGCCATTCTAGAGGGCTCTCAGATCGTTGAGCATTTTCTTCATACAATCTAAGTCTTCGTTGTGGTTGCCCTGGTGGGCTTTGTTCAGCCTCATTTTGAGCAAATGGGTTCGCAAATCTGTTGCTTGTGAGGTCCCTCTAGTGTGCGCGTTGATGCGTGAGGTCAAGTCATGATGACTAAGCTAATAAGTGTTATCATAATCGTCAGTGTCTTGCTTACGACGTCAGTTACAATCGAAACGTCAGTCATTTCCAGATTGACGCACTTGGCTCGTCTCGCAAGCCTGCGAATATCGATCTTGTCTTGGGCATGGGTTAATACCTGCACGCTGACACTGGGGATTTCGTTGAGTGTCTTGGGGATGTCCGTTGTTTTCGCTTTCCCCTCGCGGTTGCTTCCTTGGTCGCCTTCCGGGTTTAGTCTGCCCGCAGGATTCACGCTCGTGAGTGGAGTGCACTTTGCCATGTAAAGGGTGTTGGTCGCCTCTCGGCACTGACGAAGCAGCTCGACCACCTGCAGAATTCATATCTGTTGGGGTGGTATTGGTGAAGCATGGTTGGTTGAGATTCTGGGCAGTTGGTTGCTGGTTCCTCAGCTCAGCCATGTTTTGTTGCACCATCTGTGCAACCATTGTCTGATCATTTCCACCAGCTGGCTGTTCTCGGGGTTTGAAGTCCCTGCCCCCTGGTGGTTTGTGACGTGTTGAGTTGGCGACATGGGCGGTCGACATCCTGTTGCACTTCTTGGTGGGTGATTTCCATATTTTCAAGGTTTCCGGTGGTGGTCTTTGATCTGGTGTGCACCATTGTATGCCTGGATTGGATTGGGTTGGGTATTGTAACTGTTTGCCGGAATACTTGAGATGTTGATGGAGGGCGCCCTCCTTCTACCGCCAAAATGTTGATATAGAAATCTGCACCAACTAGAGTGATTCGATCAACCTTGGTGGGATCAGAACCGATATGTGCGTGATTACGGGTAATCAACGATGAAAAACAATGAATGCAATAATGTAAATAACAAAAAGATTTTTAAAGTGGTTCGGCGAGATAAACTCTTGAGCCTACGTCCATTGTGTTTGTATTTGTTGTGAAAGCTTACAATTAGAGTTATAATGAAAATGTTATAACCTCTTTTCCATCGTTGTAGGGGGGTTATATACAAGATTTGTAAAAATGAAAGAGCGAAAATAAAGGGATCACAATTGATTCGAAATGCAATTCCGATATTCTCGCAATTGGGCGCTGTGATTGCGTTGAGATTTCTGTTGATCTAGTCTTCCCTACAATATCTGGGATCTGAAGTTATCTGGGAATTGATTGAGTGATCATTCGGGTTGTTCGCGACTAGTTTGTGCTGGGTCGAGCTGAATGTCGACGAGCTTATGCTGGGTCAGACAATCGGTGAAATCGAATTGATATTGAGTCGAGCTATATCCTTGCGATATCCCGAGTTTGGTGAAAAAATCACACACAACAAGATCCAATTAATATTGATATTATATCAGGAAAAAAAGTATTGTAATAATGCAATATGAAAATATAATAATCAATACGATTTATGACCTCGTTGAATAAATAAATAAAAAAAAAGGGACCAAATTTAAAAAGAGTTGTATTGTCTGAGGAAAAAAAAAAAAAAACATAATTACTTAAAAACTTTTTAAAAAAAGTCAAATTGAAATTTGATTTATTTTTAATTGACTTAGTAATTAAGACTTTTCACATAATTTCTTTTCATTTTTACCCTATTCACTCCAGCAGTTAAGAAAAACCATTTTATTTCTCAAGTCAGTAGAGTTCAATCAACTCTAGAGTAAAAAAAATCTATTTTTTTCATTTTTTATTTTTAGAAAATTAAAACAATTCTTATATACATTCATTATTTATTTTTAAAAACAATATATTTTGTTTCTTAATTTTGTTAATAAAATATAATTAGTTAATTTATTTGTTAGTTTAAAGAAATTTTGATATTTATTTTTTAACACTGATTGAGAGAATAATTTGTAAAAAAATAAAAATTCTAATGACTCTAGTTCTTCTAGAGTCACGTGGATTTTAGTGCTAAAGTCACCTTGGTACTAAAATTGTAAGAGCGAAAACATGAAAATTGAAGAGATGGTAAAAATAGAAGAAAAGTTTTATCTAAAATATCATATCTTAACTTATCAAAAGAAAAAAAAACATCTTTTAAGTAGTTTTCTAAAGAAAAAAAAAAAAAAGAGCAATGCAGTAGAGGTTTTTCTAAAGGAAACCTTAATTAATTTTGAGATACGATTTAAGTATCGGATAATTAAATCAAAGCGCAAAAATAACATTCATCATATATTATTTTATCCTTGATAAATCATTATAGATTATGTATCATCAAATATAATTACGTGATAAATCTAAAAAAATAAATAAAAGTCATAATGTAAAGTTTTAACAAATAGTACATTACAAGTTAATTTAACTTATAACATACAGAGATGGTAACTTATGGATATTCTTTATTATTTCACTTTGGATGTTGATGGATTTGATTTTTCTGAGGTGGGATGTTATTAATTAATCCATGCTTCAATAAATCTCTTGCTAATCACATCCTAATTAATTAATGCAGCCAACAACTAATAACATCTCTTGGTAACTAGGATATGATTAGTTATTGGATATGCAAGGTGTACTTATATTATAGCAACCTGTGGATTGGTCGAATAAAGGCAGCAATATGAAAGTTAAACAAGCTGCATATACGATTAGTCTTAGATTCATTTCTGCTTAAAGAAATATTAGTAAATATTAGGGGCGTTAAAAAAAAAAATGCAAAAATTGAAACGAACCGAATTTTCGGTTTGATTATCGATATGAAAGAATATGGAAACCGATTAACCAAAACTAATTTTACTAATCGATTAATTATAAAAATATTAAATTAAAAAATAAAATAAAAATATCTTATTTATTATAAAAATATATAAAATATTAAATTAAAACTGGTTTGGTTTTAGTTTAGGAAAATTCCTAAACCCAAAAACTGATTCAGTTCACAAAATTAGTTAACTAGTTTTGAACACCCCAAATAAATACGATAATAAAAAAAGGATATTCAGTCTGAGATGGTATAAGGCCACGAAAATGATAATTCAATTATTTCAATACATATAAATTATATTTTTAATTTTAGTATTGGCAAAATAGGTCTGATTTAAACAAAACACATCTATATTCAGTAGAAACATATATTTTTATCCGAATAATAAGCATCACGTGACACATCTTCATTTATCAGATGAGTAATGTTATGCTTACTCATAAATTTATTAACCACTTTGTTCACTTTTGTTAAAATTATATATGATACTCGTGTGTGTGTATATATATATATATTAAAAAGATGGGTAATAATTTGGGGAGTAAACATACTTATTATTATCCGATAAGCATTCACATAGATAAGATGTTGTCGGGTCCAAGACCCGTTATACGTTGGGTCCACCATTTGTATTATTTAGACTAAATATTTAAATGTTTCGTGCAGAAGAATAGTAGTTGTTGTACTATCTTCTGCTAATTACAACATCAGAAAGACAGAAGCCATTGTACTACATAAATAAAAGTCAAGTTCGAATTTATTCTGAGTCGGCTAAGGAATGCAGACTAAATAAGAGAACAAACAACGCAACTGAAAGAAAACAAGCTTGGAAATTTCGAGCTTTACTATGCTTCGAGTCTCGCTAGTACTTTTAGTATTAAGCTCGGTGTTCATCGGATGGGTTAACTCGCACGAAGAATCAGGTGAGTGGAGTTGCGATTCTGACTCTGAGATCCGAGTCCAGGCCGAGTTCAAGCCAGGACTTGTCACGCTTGATGGTCACGCCGATGATTGGAAAGACATTGATGGCTTCGAATTCTCTCTTCTACTGGCTCTTGACCCTGACGATGACCACGAGTACAAAGGTGGAAAAATGACCGTTAAGGTATACTTTTGTTCTATCCAAACCATAACACATTCATGTAGTAGAAGTGTTTGTTTAATGTTCCCTTTCCTAGTTTCATGATATGCTAACACATGTTCAATCAATTTTGAACGGATTTAACCATTTAATTTCGATGGGCTTCATTGCAGGCTTTGCACGACGGTCGTGATGTCTTCTTTTTGTTGCAAGTTGATGGGGAGTATGTGTATTCTAAAGGGTAAGTGTTTGATTTGAAAAGGAAAGTAAAGCTACTGGATTATGTTCAAGAACGAACCATTTTATTTTGTATTTTGACGTATTAGATTCACTTGATCTCTCCCAATTTTTTGTTTTTAGCTGGTAGTTGCTGCTTTCTGAATTGAATCGCAACTAAATTCCGATATTTTTGTTATTATTTTGATCTACTTCCCTTATCACTAATAGTGACAAATCTGATTTTGTATACATATCCGTGTTTTGTCTTTGAACGGGGTACTTTTTATGACATCATACTGCATACAGATTGGTTGGAGGGAGATCAACTTTATGTCTGCCATCTTTATAAACATTTGATTGCCATGATGACATTGAATCCGTATCCTTCTCTTTGTTGGCTTTTTGAATTGTCATTACATGCTTTTGTGAAAGTTCTACAGATTGGGTTTAGTTTGATAACACATTGGCAATGCTTTTCTTCTCATCATATAAGGCTTTTATTGAATTGAGTTTGTTTTCCCTAATGCAGCGAAAACACAAAGTGCCCTTCCGTTGCTCTTATGTTTCAAGTAGGCGAAGATGCTACCTATCATAATGTAAGTGATCCTTTTGATTATTCTGTGACAGTGTCTTCTTCCATCACAATTTATTTTTCACTTTATTAACTTACACCTTAATGAAATTAATATTGTGAAATTGTGTTTTGTTAGATGGGTGGGTGTAAAGAGCATTCCGACTCTTGCACCAACAAGACTTGCAAAGGGCACGAGGTTGACATTATGCACTTCTCAATTGGAAATGCTATACCGGGACGACTTTATGGTGGCAATCCAATAGATAACAGAGATGGAAATGGAAATGACAAGTGAAGAACCACAACCCAATGATTTTGATCTTCATGACAATTAAGAATATATTCGTGGTTATTTATAATCTACTCATCTTATGATCCTTGTTCTGTGAACAGGTTTGGTCATTTGGTCGATGTTTATGATTGGAACCCACACTGTAGATATCTTGATGGAATTGGCCCTTCAGGTACTTTAGAATTAAATTATTTTAGTATTCTGTTGATTGCAAATGAAACGTGTTACATGTTAAAAAGAAGATAGGATTATCTTAAGAAAGGAAAGCAAAGTGGGAGAAGGCGCTAAAGAAAGTGACTGCGATTTTTACAGAGACATCAAGGTGGAGTTGAATCCTTCAAAGTCAAATCCTAGATTTTGTGAGATGGTCCCTTTTCTTTTTCTTCTTTCTTGGGTCAGATAGTGCAATTCATGTTCCACAAACATTGGCATCCACTTTAAGAACTTTTTGAATATTGAAATGTGAATCATTTCTTTGATGGTGTGGAAACTCTTCACGACCACCACATTTATTTTAAATTATATGACAATGTTCAACTATCGTTTAATTAAATTCCTGGTATATGTCGCTGCACCGGCAGGAATAGTTCATAGTTTGGCCCTGTTTTCTTCCATTTACTTTTTGGCAATTACCTTTCTGTCATTGCCTCAGCATTTTTCCTTTTTGCTACTCTCTTTTCTTTTAAGCTCCTTCAATTAAATCAAACCCCAAATACTCTTATTTGTTTCATCCGTTACACCTCACAAATGCTCATATTTAATCAATTTCATTTTTGTTTTTGTCTCCAAATCTCACCATCTTATTCTAAATCTTATCTAAATCGTTATGAGTGTCTTCTTCATGCTCGTTCTTCAAGTTGTCAAATATTAAGAGATTAGAAAAACCTGATTTAGGATAGAAGACTATAAGGTTGTTTAATCCTTGCTTTACTTTACCTTTAGCCTTTCGCATAGATATAAATTTCTCACTTCTTTATGAATAAATATTAATACATAAGCACTGCTGGACTCTTTTTGAAGGTATGAGTAATAGTTGAAGCTATGCATTATTGTCGGATTTAACAGTGGTTGCGGTTACGTAGGCATTGCAACTTGAATGACATCTAGAACCACACAAAAAGTGGGGAAAGAGAACAGTTATGAATTTGCCATTGGATGTAATGTTTTAGGGTTTCTTCTGTGTTGGAGTAAGGAAGGGAAAGTAGCATTTTTAGGATTTTTTTTTTTTTTTTCTTTTCAAATTTTATGAGGTCCTTTGGATACTGTATAAATGGAGTATATTATATTATATTAACTCTGGTATGAAGCAATTTAATTTGAGCATGAACTTATTTCATTTCCTACGGGTTGGTGGAAATTATTTGTCTTAATGATGACATCTTGTTAAACTTTATCCTTGCGGCTAGTTGTCTAAATTCGGTGTGATATGAAAATCATGAGCTGATCTTAGTTGACTAGAAATAGTTTCTGCAACTTTTTTGCTGCTTCACTTCAACAAGAAGGCTCTTCTATGTGAATATTTTTGTATGTAATTTGGCATAGTTTTCTTCTTTAACTGCCTTTTTTTATGGAGTTTAAATGTTTTGTACGATTGATGTATTAAGGATTGGCTTTCTCCATTGCCAGGAAATGATTCTAGTGCTCAGAATGATTGGAAAGGAGCGTGGTGGCACAGTAGCTTCAATGTTCACTCAGGTGGTTAACTAACTTTCGTTTTAAGGTTGGACATTTAAGTTTTCCTTTCCATGTATATTGATATTTTTATAATAAATGAAAGCCAACCATTGGTTGTCTAAGCCAATCATCATTTGTTTGCTACAACTAGATTATGGCACGTGTTTTGTCATTTTCTTTTTGTAACTTAGAACTTTTATATATGTTTTCATCTTCTCTTTCAACATGAATAGTTGATATTTCTCTCCCACAGGTTTCGTGGAGGAAGACAGCCCATATGCATCGGGTGGTCAAAAGGGCACATATTATTTTGAATTTTCTAGGCCTTTGAGAACCATGGATCGTCTACAACAGGTTAGATACTTATCTGTTTCGTTCAGATTCTACCTAAGATTAAATCAAAAGAACTTTAACCCTAAGTTGTGTACTCACTGAATCTTTGAAAAGTAGGCTATAGATATCTGGTAAAATCTGTTGCTTTTCTGATAATAGAGAAGATCTTGCCTTAAATTATAACTAGCAACACTACAAGCACAGTTTGATTGTTCACAAGTTATAGTTTTTACCTCTTACCTTTTTACCAATCATGTGATTAAAAACTGTGTGCAACTTGAATATGAAACTTTTTCTGTCTGTAAGGGGCTTATAGCTTTATTTGTGATGAGTCTTGTCCTGTGATTGAAACAGTGTTTATAGTGGCAGATAAGTAAGTCATGAAGTTATATTATGTGATAATGCTGTTGTATTTTTTGTAAGTTTCTATATAAGGAATTACCTTTTAATGATTGGGTGTAAATGAGTTGCTTCGTAACTGTTGGCAGGATGCTCAGCTTACAATTGGCGGGTTGAGCAAGATGTCTGTTGCATTCTGGTATCCAGTTGATGGGAACCCATGGCATGGATCTGGACACTATTCTATTAATTGTGATTGGGTACCCTTGGATATTTCTTCGGGCAGCTCTATGCTAAGAAAGTCAGGCACAGGCAGCTCCGGAGATACTGCCAGTATCTTTGCTCTTCTACTCTCAGTAGTCGCATTATGTGTTTCTGTTTTTGTGGGTTATCGTGTGTTTAGACCCCCGAGTCACCACTTTACACCTATGGAAAACCTTTAAAGCAGTGGTATAGATTTTGAATTGTACTATTACTTGGATGTGTACTTTACAGGATTGTACTTCAATTCCACTTCGTTTCATTTTTTAATAAAGTTCAATTGTTACTTTATTATCACCTTTTTAGTGTGTTCTATCACTAGTTTAAAGTTGGTGCGATCTGAAATAAGGATGAGTTTCACAAGCAGTGACTGGCCTTGCACCGTCGCTGACTGATGAAATGTTTCATCCAAGGATGACTTTGTATCGTCTGAAATTATGACTGGCAACGGATTTATAGAAATTAGCCCAGATCATGAAACAGAGGAAAATAGGCACCAAGTAATTCACATAAATTATACCGTTTTTCATATGCTTAATAGCGCAACCACAGTTCTATGACATTGAGACCTAAAAAAATAGATCCCTCTGATGGACATCAAGTCTTATAGTGTTGTAAATAGTAATGCTACAGTCATCAAATTTTTATGCACCTAATATTTGATTAATTTTAACTTAATACGAATTAACGGTCAGGATTTTATCACGTCATTTGGTACATATATTCAGTGCACCGTGTTGTAAAATATCTTTTACTTGTAAGGACTTTAAGGTCTACTTGAGGTTTTTTTCACTGGTTTTGAGAGAGTTTTAATTAAAATGGTTTTGAGGTGTTCTAAAATCATTACTTGTCAGATTTGTTATACATTAGTTTTGACTAGCTCAAAAACCCCCAGAACTAGTATAGTGTATTTTTTAAGTTCTAAATCGGGGTGTTTTGATTGGTTTTAAAATTTTATTCTACAAATACCCTATCTATTACAAAATTATCCCAATTATATATTAAAAAAAATAACTATATTATGTGGATCTCCAACTATATTAATTATAAAATAATTGTAAGCAATCATAAAAAAAAAATTAATAAAATCTCATTTCTAGATGCTTTCTTGGAGAAGTGAAACAACAATTTTTCAATCATTTCAGATGCTGCAGAGAATAACAATGAAAAATAAGAAAATTTTATCACATTTGAAATTATAAAAGACTAGTAAATAGAAAACAAATAAAGAACCTTTACCTTATAATTGGAAAAACAAAACTCTTAAGTACTAGTTGAAATTGAGATATATATATATATCATTTAAAAAAACGGTCAAAACCACTAAAAAATAAACTTTCAAGCACAATTAAATATTTTAAAAATCGCTACTAAAAACCCTTTAATATCGTTAAGATAATTTACTTTAAAACCGTTATTGTGGTTTATTCCCCTAGTTTCTTCCTTAAAACTCCCAAACGGATCTTAAGATCGCTATAAGAACGATTGTACGTGCGTTAAACCAGCTTAATTTATGTGATCTTTGATATAATTTTGTAAAGCCAAAAAAAAAAAATGTTCCGTTTCCGTTTCAGTTATATTTGCTTTTTCACGTCTACCACCAATAAAATTTAAATTCTTACGAAAAAGGTGCGCTATTTTTTATTTTATTATATAAATAAATATTCCCTTTTTAGGCCAGGGAAGAAGCTTCTCGCATCTGCTAGCTAGTTTTCTCAAAGCGAGGTTATTTTTGTCATGATATCTATATTTAGATAGAAGGTGGGAAAGCTGAGCCATAGTTTTAAAATGGTATATTTTCGAAAAAAATGTCTTCTTTCTAGCTTTTATTCTTTTTGCCGTCAAAAACCCTAGTTGCTTAAACCCTCACAGTTTACTGTACCATACCCGGCAAGCTGTTATTGAGGAGATTTTGTACTTGCCGCTGTATATACTATATAGTAGTATTCTTAAAAAAAATAAAAAAAATTAAATAAATAGATTCAAGCGTCTACTAAGAAGTCTTTACCCTAAAAAATTATTTAAATTGATAGAATAATTTGTTACGATTAGTTAATAATTGTTCAGGTTTTGGAATGACTTCCGATGGAGGCAAGCGGTCTCAAGCGTCGTCAATCCCACCTAGAAAAATCAATTTACAGAAATTCGCGGAGGCTCGAGCTCCTGAGTTGGATAGTCTTCACTCCATTGTGTCCAATAGACTGAATAATAATTTTCGTTCTCGTCGAAACAAGAGAAGAAGAACTACTGCCCATGACAATCAAGTCGCAAAGAAGAGGTCTAGGAAGAGGTGGAAATTAGGAGTAGTGGATAAAAGCAATGGCTCTGATTTAGGAAAAGATCACAAGAAAGTTTCGCGTCGCATTCGTAGGAGAGTAGAGCTTAAAAAGAATCCCGAAAGTGGTTTCTCTACTTCTGGTGACGGGACGAAGAGGCTGAGAACTCATGTATGGCATGCTAAGCGGTTTACCATGAAAAAGTTGTGGGGTTATTACCTTCCCCTAGGTTTGCAGGGCAGGTATAATTTTCCCTAATTGATATATATGTTAATCTTTTTTTGTGGATTTTAACTAAAACATGTCATTGGCAAAAATAAGATTCAACTTGTATGTGAATTTTGAATTAGATGACTCATTTGATGCTGCTGACAGATGTTTTCTGGGACTTGATAAGACATATTATTTTCCATCTTCTATTTATTGAATACTTTGTAATGGGTACTTGTACCGTGCAGAGGAAGGGGTTCTAGGGCTTTGTTGAAGTGGTGCAAAGAAGGAGTTGTTGTACATGATGCAAGCCATTACATCGCTGTACAATTGGAGGGTCCAGAGGCAGGCATTTCCCTTTCTCCGTAACTAGTAAACTTTTGATCATCATGCCCTTTGTGAACTTGGAAAATTATGGCTTCTTTTACTGGTTGGTGAGCTTGACTCCGGAGTCCTATAGATTTTTAGTCTGAGTTGGTTTTTCTGTTTCCAGGATTCATTAATGTCAATACTACAGACGGTACTAGTGCCTTCCTTGTCATCTGAATCCGAAGATATTTCCCATTCTATTTTGTCTGGTGTTATCTATGGAAGCGCTATGGTAGGTCAACCTATTGCACAATGACTAATAACTTTGAATATACCAAGCATCTTATTAAATTATTTCTGTTTCCAGCTACATCATGTTGGAGCACCTTTTTCTCAGTCTATTGCTCCTGTGACCTATATGTGGAAACCTTCTCATGAACGGGATGGAGAAGGTAATGCTAATTGTGATAATGCTGTTGAGTGTTCTTCATGCCTTCGCCAGCTTTGGTTGTGGATACATGCTTCGGCTTTTGTTGAGGGATATGATGCCCTAAAATTAGCTTCTCAGAAGCAGGTAAAGTATACGCCCGTCTCTCATAAGAACATACATATGAAATTTTACTGAAACTTTATTAATTCTACCTTATCTGGCTTGATCTCCCAGCCTCTAATCTGAGGTTACTTGGAGAAGCCTTTGTCAAATAAAATTTTGAGTTTCCACTTGTCATAAATTTTCATTTAGTAGAGAAATTTAGGACATGAAAGTTGCTGTTGTGTGTGTGTGTGTGTGTGTATGTGTGTGTAATCTTGTTGGAATACAATCAAAGCTTATAATGTTTTATCTTTTAGATGAACGAGACTGGTGCGTTGATAAATTGTTTTTCACTTGAGGGTCAACTTGGAAAACTGGAAGTAATTGGATCAAAAACATTTCAACTTCTTCAAAAGACATTGCATCCTGTTTCTGGGTAAGGTACCATTGAGTAGAATTGGATCACGTTGAGCCAAGATAAAATATTAAGAATAACCATATTGTGTCAACTGGTCTTGCAGTATTTCAAAAAAATCTTGGCAATTGAAGAAATGCTCAAGTTCCAAGGCTGATGATGATTCTCAAGATAAAGAGTTTTCTCTAATTGAAAATGACGAACATATTTCTTCTTGTGCAATTTTGTCTCTTATTGTTGACGATCCTCGTCCATTGCCAGATGAAAGTATTTCAGGTATGTTAGTGTCTTTGGTTCTACTGTTATACTCAACAATGTAACAGAAAATGGAGCTAAATAGCATTTTATTTTGCCAGAAATTTCAAATATCAGTGAAGATTTGATCTATGACTCTTGCTTAAAATTTGAAGGGAAAAGCTTTTTCAACTATGAAAGCATTTGGGACGCTACCAGTAGGATGAGTCTCCCTATGGAAGAAAATGTTCTTTGCATGGAAAAACATCACCGGCATATGGCTTTTCTTCACCTTGATGACCCAAAATCAGGGACATGGAAGCCTTCAAACAAGGCACAGTGTTCTAGAACTTGCCCTATTATGCTTCTGAAAAATAAAAACCAAAAAGGCTCACCTATGAGGTAATTGTTTTTCCTGGTTTATTTTTCTGTTTGGCATCCCTTGCTTTGTAACTCATATTGGGAGTATAAAAGAAAGTTTCATTATTTTACTTTATCTGTGCCTTTTATGTTTTCCTTCGGTTATTTATTACTTATTGGCATCCTCTGAGTGCGAGTCTGGCATATGTGTAATTGAATGACAAACCTGTTCTCTTATTTATTTATTTTATTTTTGGACCTTCTGGATCAAGTATGGTTGTATTTGATAATTGTTATAGTCATTTTCAAGTTACTATTAATTCTAATTCATCATTGTCATTTATGAAGATTTTGCTGCATACACTTTCTCTATAAAATGTAACTTGACTGCCTTTTTGCTTGGTTTAAATTAAGAACAAGTGTACAAACTCTCTTACAAAGAGAGTTTGTACAAACTGACATGGCATGTCACATCAACGCCACATGGCATATGGGCCCACCTAACACTGACATAATATTAAATAATATGGGTCCCATGCCATGTGGCACTGACGTGGCATGCCACATAAGTTTGTACAAACTCTCTTTGTAAAAGAGTTTTTACATATAGCTTTTTCCTTAAATTAAAATCATACTCGGCAGCTGAAGTTTGAGCCTAGGCTCTTCATTACTATGGGGCCAACAGTTTTTTGTTTGTGACAAGAATGTGTAGATGATCTCTGATTCTCTAATAATACATGACAATTAATGGTGGGAAAAGTTGAAAGAAAACTTATTTTTTTGTGTTAATTTGCATTGCAGATGGTCTGTTATACTTCCCTTAAGTTGGGTCAGAGTCTTCTGGATTTCTATTGTCTCCAAGGGAGCTCATGCAATAGGTCTAAGGGAGAAACACTGGATTGCCTGCGATGTAAGTATGTGCACCTTGGTGCTGCAGTTTTGAGAAATTGGTTGTCAAACATTGCATGTTAATGTTTCTTCTTTTGCAGACTGGACTTCCATACTTTCCCTTGGATTTTCCTGATTGTAATGCATATGCATCCTTTATGGCAACTGAAGCTGCTGCATCTGACCAAAAAGCAGAATTTCGTCCTGCTACTGTTAGACCTTTTAAAGTTCCCATTCCACCCCCATGGAATATTGTTTGCAATTCTTTTAACAAAGCAGCAATTGGAGAGCAAGATGCTAAATTTTCAAGTGGCAATAACATTGTTGATGACAATTCTTGGCCAGAGACAACATGCTCTAGAATTGATATGACCTCATTTGTCAGTCAAGATAATTCATTTGATAGAATTGTAGCAAGGACATCCAGTGCACTGACTTATTTTATGAATCAAATCCATGGTGATCATTTGCTTCTGTTTCCTCAACTTTCAAATCAGACGACAAGTTTTATGAAGTTAATGAAAAATGAAAGCAAGCTTGGCCAGGACCAAAATGGCATTACTGAAATTAATTACGAACATAAATTATGTTTCCTTAGAGTTCTTCTCCATGCTTACAAGGAGGGTGTTTTCGAAGAGGGAGCAGTTGTATGTGCCCCTTCTTTGACTGATATTTCGTTGTGGACTTCAAGGTACTTATTTTTCACAACTTTCCTTCAGATAAATTGTTCCTACTTGAAAGCCTCTAAACTTGATTCTTTGAAATTTTATTAAATGTTATTTGTGGATTTCATGAATAGGTGCGAAGAGTTATTTTAGGTATTTTTACATCTAGGAAATTCCCATACAAGTTCGCTAGTTTGATGTTTGTAGGCAACTACTTCGGGAAATTTGTTCACTGCAACATGCTTGAAGCATGATTTAACTTCAGACTTGTCATTTGAAATTTTCTTTCTGGAATTTATATCCAAGAATAATATATATTTTCTTTGCATTTATTTAAAGAACTTGTTGCTCTAGTTTTATTCCATCCTTCAGAATTATGCAACTCTTTGCACATTTTGCAGTTTTGGAAGTAATGAAATTGGACTTCAAATGCCTGAGTCTTCGGTGAGATCATATTTCAAAGAACTATCTTCTGGCGAGTGGGAACTCCAAATACGAGAGGACCCTGCTAGTAGAGAATCACATCGGTGGCCAATTGGCTTTGTGACAACTGGATTTGTTCGAGGGAGGTTAGTGTACATCGCTTTACAAGTACTCCAAACTTGTGTTTTTGCTCAATCCTATTCAGTACTTTCTTTGCCCATAACATCATCAAATAAGGATTTAACATACATGCAGCAAGAAGCCAGTGGCAACGGCTTTCTGTGAGGCAGTTTTACTAGCTCGTCTTAGGGAGGAGCAATGGAATGAGATGCCAGTGAAACGGAGGAGGAAAGAGATATATGTACTTGTTAGGAATCTAAGATCTTCAGCGTACCGACTAGCCCTTGCGACCATTGTCCTGGAACAACAGGAAGATGATGTGAATTTCATGTGAAATGCTGCCCACTTGTATATTTGGATAGAATGGAATACAAACAGTGACGAGTTGAGAATTGTTTTCTGATTTATGTCTTCTACTGCTTGAGGAAGTAGTTTTATAGTTCCCATCCACATGCCGCTGTGCAGAGAAATTTTAGATAGTAAGATTATACCTTGATATTTTACGAGGCGGCTTGTAATAGTGGTGCTAGGCCGAGGCATAAATTTATGCATCAGTGTGAAGTTGGACAAGACACGATGTACCAAATTCATTTAATGATAAAAAATTTTGTGGAAGATACGCTTCGGCTGATATCAAACAGTTATCTGTAGTTGGCAACATTTTCCCCGTCATCAAACATTATTAGTTCACATTATTTGGTTCTTCTCCAAATTCTCAACATTCTCATAAGCAAAACAAGAGTATTATAAATTATTTTTGGGGATATTTAGATCATATAATGTTTTATTATAGAGAAATATTATATTAATGAAGGGAAGATATCTATATATTATTGAAAATGTTTAAAAAATGTGTTGGTTAAGAGAATAAATGAATGGGTATATTATGTAGATTATTAATACCCTCATTTTAAATATTAAACCATAGTGTTGGTTTTTTTTTTTTTTTTTTTTAACTTCATATATTTGAAATTTTGCTAAAACACTTTAGCTATATAAAACTTTAATATGTAGCAAAATCATTTCCACCCACCCCAAGCCACTATCGGCTGCCATCGATAGTCAATGGAATGGCGTACAACTAGCTGTATATGGCCAGTCATGCACGGGCAAAGCCAAAAAACAGATAGATCACACCAATCGTGCACCATTACGGCGATGGATGCCGACGGTTGACAATGGTGAGTCAAGATCGGCAGTGGTTTTGGGTAGTTGGGGGTATTTTATTAACTTTTAAACTTTTTTGTGGTTGGGGTGTTTTAGTTAATTTCTCAAATATTGGGGGGTGGGTAATTGTTATTTGATAGACATTTGAGGGCAATTGTGTCCAAAATGATTTTTAATTAAAGGCAAAATGGGAGAAAAATCAGATTACCCCGGTAATATTTTAATAATACCCACTAGCAAAGTAATAAGATTATCCTCCACATTACCAATAGTAAACACTATTTGCAATAAAAGATTACCGTAATATTTTATTATTTGCAAACAAAACGTCAAAATCTTGCAAAATAAATGAAGATTACCTCCATTATCTTATATATCCCCAATCCAAACGCCCCTCAGGGTGTGTTTCGTTCAGGGAATGTTGGATTACTGGAATCTTATATTACTTTGAAGATTACTGGGAATCTTTAAGGCTTCGTTTGATTCAAAATTGGGAATACTACTCTTAGGATTTCTAAAAAAGTTAAACAGTAAAATACACCAAAACTCTCATTTTTGGGAATACTATTTTCAATATTATTTAATTTTTTTTAAACCCTCTAAATTTGTTAATTTAATTAAATACCCCTAAATATTTTTTTAAAAGTTACAAAAACACCCCAAAAATCCACATTTACCAGATTCCGGCCACCACCGCCGGAAAATGGCCGGAATCTGGTAAGATGGCGCACTACCTGCTGAATCTGACCGGTAGTGCGCCGATCTAGCCTTTTCCGGCCAGATCTAAGGCCAAAGATTTGGCCGTTGACGGCCGGATCTTTGGCCGTAACAGTCGGTCACGAAGGCCAACAAACGGTCGTCGTTGACCATCAACGACGACCGTTTGTTGGCCGTCATTGAGAGCAAATACGGCCAAATCTGGCCGTAGATCTAGCCTTTACCGGCCAGATCCACGGTGGATCTGGCCGGAAAAGGCCATAGCGGCGCATGACTGGCAAGATCCAGCTAGTCATGCGCCGATAAGATGACTCCGGCCACCTCCGGTGGTGGTGGCCGGCTGAGGGTATTTGAGGGTGGGTTAGGGGTGTTTTTGTTAACTTTTAATGTTTTATTATAGGGGGTATTTTGTAAAAAAACAAACATAAGGGGTATTTTATTAATTTATAAATCCTACCTCATAATACCCGCCCAATTCAACTTTTTTTTAACTTTTTTCAAAAAACTTTTCCCAAAACCCCCAAATTTTGAACAAAACGAAGCTTAAGAAAATATGTTTGGTTAGTTGGAATAAATTTTTAGGTATGTTATATTAAATATGTTTGGTTAGGAGGAATAAATTGGTGGATATGTTATTTAAATTACTAAATTGCCCTCTTTTTAAATATTAACATAATATTTTTTTTATTATTAATTTTTAAATAGTTTCTTTTAACCCCCAATATTTCAAATTTAGCTAAAACACCCTCGCTTATATAAAACTTTAATTTATAACAAACTCTCCCCCACCACTCTGCCACCACCGCAAACCACTGTCAGAAGTCGTCGTGAGCAGCCCATCGTGACCAAGAGGCTTGGCCATATCGGGAGCAGATCTGGCCGAAAATGGCCACATCGGGGCCTCCCAGTGACGTTGGGCTGCTCACGACAACTCCAAGTGACTTCTCGCGGTGGCCGGGGGTGGTTTGGTTAGCGGTAGGTGGGTGGGGGTGGTAGCTTAGGTAAGCTGAAATTTGGTTTCAAGGGTAATTTTGTCCAAAAAGTTAATTAATTGGGGTGAAATGGTAAAAGCAAAATTCATGTAAATAAATTAAAAAATAAGGGTATTATTATCCTAAAATTTTATTAATAAGGGATAGAATTATAACAAAAAAATATTACTCAAGTAATCTTACAATACCTAAGAAAATGAAGATAATCAAATTATTTCCAATATTACCAAAAGTAGTCACTATTGATATTTGAAGATTACCGGAAGAATATATTACTTGACAAACCAAACATAATAGTTAAATAATATAAGATAAATTAACCGTAATAATCTTACATAACCTTCAACCAAACACCTCCCGATGTTAAAGTTTTGATAATTATTATGATAAGTAATTTTCGAGCAATTACTAAACGATGAATACTATTTCCTTTTTTGTCGATTAAAAAAAAACCTTTGCTAATATATTTAGCATCTTATAGAAAAGCCCATTGGGCTCAGCTTAGCCCCTATTACTAGATGAAAGATTTGTAAAGCGTTGTACTGTACCTTTTTCACTAAACAAAAGAGAAGAGATCGAGTCCAAAGAATCAAGGATCTATAGACTGTAAACTTGAATTTATTGTCTCAAAGATAGCGATTAACCTCGACAAGGAAAGCACGGGTACGTTCGTTACAATATCACATTTTGAAATTCTTTAATTTGACCTCAATTTTCTTTCCTGCAATTTGCTTCTATCCACTTTTAGGGTTCATTATATTTTTATTTAGGTATTCATTACCGTTGACATCTTTTAGTTTGAATACCTGAATTCTAATTCAAAATTTCTTTAGAATCGTTAATTTTTTATTTTGAATTCAGTCCAAAATCCAAATTCCATAACTAATAAAGGTATGATTTGTGGTTGTTGATACTAATAATCATTTTGGCGCTGTAGTTGAAGCTTGCACTTTATGGCTAGGATTAAACCTCAAGCTCTGCTGATACAAAGTAAAAAGAAGAAAGGACCGAATCGAATAAGTGTTACTACTATTGTTGTGTTCAGTTCGATTCTTGTCTTGGCTTTATTCTTCCTGTTTTCAACATACAGACACTGGTCTCAAAGGTTTGTGAATCTCTGTGGTGTTTTTTTTTTTTTTTAAATGAAAATTTAGAGTTTATTATGTAAAATAATGATATTTCTGAACTATATTTAGGCCAACCTTTCATGCAGAAGTTCATAACGAATCAATTGTTGAGGTACACTCTTACGGGGAATTTTGTTTATTTTTTCTGTTTTGACTTTTACTGTTATAATGCAATTTTATATGTATTATCATTATACATATTTTTTTATTGATAAGGCAAGATATGTCTTGTTTATTTCTTTGTGTATGTGTATTACCAAATACCAATCTGTACATATTTTTAATGCCTCCACTTATTCTCCTTTTTGTATGTAGGATGACAATTCTTTTATGGATTTGAAGAAATCCGATCTCCCTGGATATGCGGTATATTTCCCCATAATGCCAACCTGCAGTATCTTAGTTTTACTCTTTTTCTTTGAAAACTACTTCTGGGTGAACACTGATTATGCTTATGGTTATTTTTTAAGAAACAAGACTAAATTGAAATTATTTTCTCATGCTTGCTTGTCTAATGGAATATGAACCATGAGAAACTTTCTTTGTCTTTCCTGTATTTATTATCTATATTTTCCTGCAAGTAAAAATTAGTAGGAAATTTTGTTCTTTGGAATCTACTGTATGTATTACTCTACTGAAAGCTTGGTTTTTTCTAGTCTTGCATTGGTATGCATGTTGCACTGTGCAAATGTTATTTTGCGACTTATGCTTCTCTATTGAGATTTTATATATGACATTGTCTTGCTGTTCATTCTTATAACTAGATAATAAGTACCCCAAAAGGCTCTATAACAGTGGAACTTTTCAAGGATAGCTCACCTGAAGTAGTTGATGAATTTATTGACTTATGGTGAGTACTGAAACATATACTTCAGCCTGTATTTAGATTTCATTTTTAAGGTAAATCTGGTGTGTTTTTAGTTCCGATTTGTAAATAGCTCTTTTGGTTTGATCAATATTATAAAGCTGTGGTCAGGCATAACATCTTCCTTCCAAAGTTATATGTAATAGCAGTATGAACTGATTGCAGTCAGAAGGGGCGTTTTAATGGTATGCTTTTTCGACATATAATAAAGCACTATGTGATTCAAGCGGGGGATGGAGATAAGATGGGTAGTATTGAAGATTGGACAGCAAGAGGAAAACATTACAGTCAGCTTGATACAAGGTTGCAATTTGAATTGGCTTCAAGGTGTATATATTATTAACTTACTATGATCTGTAATTTGTGACTTTTCTCATGTTCAACCAGTTTGAAGCATGACGCATTCATGTTGGGAACTTCTAAGATTAAGCATGACAACCAGGGATTTGAACTTTTCATTACAACCGCACCAATGCCGGATTTGAATGAAAAGCTTATTGTTTTTGGACGGGTCATCAAGGGAGAGGAAGTTGTTCAGGTGAAAAAGAACTTTGGTAGTTTGGTTTATTCATTTTTGTTGATTTTTGTCATTGTTCCATGTACTAGGCTGAGTACGGAATTGTTTTACCTATCTCCCTTGGAATTATGAGTTCATTTCAAGTTTGTATCTCGTAATTCATGATTTTAATACTGTTTTGAATTTATTTTTGTCAGATCATCAATTCAGAAGTTGAACTTATGGTTGATATTGATAATGTTATCTGAAACTGTGTTGACCAGGAAATTGAAGAGGTGGATACAGATGAACACTATCAGCCTAAATCTGGCATAGGGATCAACAGCGTGATTCTTAAACAGAAAGTCTAGAGGCTATCCACACGAATAGAGGCTTTTCTACATTCCTGATTCTTTCATTCCAAATGTCTCTTACTGTAACATCAGCCAAACTTGTTACAGGGACTGCATTTTCTAACTATCTTCTGGGCATCATCATGGAGCTGCAAGTTACTGAGTGGTTCAAACTTATATGAGTTAACCTTATACCACATTGATTATAGTTGTACTTAACGCAATGAAACAGCTTATAAGTTCAACTTTTTTTTTTTTTCTTAAATTAAATTTTTAATCTGCTGTATAGGCTTTGATTATACACTGATTGTATGTTGTATCACTAACTGGATGTAATTTTCATGTGGAGTAATAAGGCTCGAGAAGAAATTTAAAAATTTACAAATATTCCACAGGTAATTAGGTATTTTGTTTGTTTTCTATGTGACCTATGTTTAAGGAGCTAGTCTGTCTCTGAGGTACTGATTTCGACATGGTTGAAGCGATCACATACAAATATCGTGTGTATTGTCAGAAAACAACCACTAGGCCTGCAATCTTCAATTTGAAGTCCGTGTTGACACGTCGTGAAGGTACCAACTCTCTACAATCTTTCTTTTTGGTTTAAGCAATGCGGTGGCCTTTGCACAACGGAAACGGTTCAGCAGGATACGCTTGCCTGATATATTGATTTCCTTTATTGAGGATGAGTCATGAGAGTATCTACGTTAGATTTCCTTTATACACATTGGTAAATTTTTCAGATATGGAATAAATATCACAAGGAAAATGAAAATCTAAAATAGAATCTCTTATTTGCATAGATGAATCTTGATGAAAACATTCAATCCACACACAACTTGGTTCACTGGTCAGCTGCTACTACGATTAATGGAAATTTAAAAATATAAATTACATAACTACAAAATCAGATTAAACATTTGGTCATTGAGGGCAAAGCTTGGCAAGCAAGGTCTCAAGCTCATGGGTTATTTTAATATCATCCTCCAATAACCTCTCTTGCATATTGGACGCCGATTTGCCAGCAGCTATGTAAGTCTTCATCAGCGAGTGGTAAGCACTGGAATCGAGACAATTGTGCTTCTTTAAAACCTTGCAGAACTCCTCTGCTCCTTCAACATCTTTCTCTTCCTCAAAGACTGTCAAAAAAGAACTCACTGTTTCTTCTCTTGGACACCATTCAAATTCCTTAGCTTCAGAAATAGCTGTGTTCATTTCGATCAAAGCCAAGTCCAGCCGACGTGTCCTCAAGTGGTAAATCATGAATGCCTCCCGCGCCTTAAAATAGGGCGGTTTAGCCCTCTTAATAATGTCATCAAAAACTGATACAGCTTCTTCGTACATGTCATGCTTTAAGTAAGCACGTATAGCAACTTGTGGTAACCTTGTATCGTAGCTGGAGCAACTAGACTCCCACTCCTCAAAGCATTGTTTCAACATGTCGATAGCATCTAGTTTAGCAAGAGCATTAAGCATGACAAAATAGCTTGCATTAGTTGAGGGCAAAGCTGACTTCAGGGAGTTCCATATCCGACTGACCTCGCCCAGATTAGAAGTGCCAGCATACAAAGTAATAAGAAAATGGTAAGCTTCACGCTCTCGAGGTTTCATTTCCTCTAGCTTCTTTAGAGCTAACTCCGCTTTCTCAAAAAGTCCAGCTTTGACATAGATTGCTGCTAAGTTACTATATGTTGTCCAACTGCATTTGTCTTCAACCTCGTTTGACATTTCTTGCAAAATTCTCTCTACTCCATCAATATCATTCAAACTTGCGCAGCTCTGCATCCAAATAATATAAGTATACATGCATGGAGATACGTTCCTCTGCTTCATTTGTTCCACTAGAGAAGGCACCTTCTCAGGTTGGCCCAATTTCATATACATGCTCATGAGATTGTTAAAAGGTAAAGAATTGGAGGTGAATTTCAATTCACTCATCTTCTCAAATAGCGCTACGGCTTTTTCAGTCATGAGTTCCTTACAATAACAGTTCAAAAGAGCTCCATAAGTTAATTGGTTTTTTGCATGTGGTGAGAGCCCACTGAAGTATTTCTCAGCTGCAGCAATCCCTTTTGTTTTCGCAATAAGATCTAAAAGAAACGCATAGTCACGGTAGGAGAAGTTCATTTTCCGCTTCTCCATCCACTCCATCACCTAAATTATTGTTGCCAAAATGGAGAATTTAATCAATTTACTACAAAGATAGAATGGTTATTTTCTCAATCCGTCAGCAACTTTAAAATAAATTTACAAGTTAAAACATTATTGTTTATTAGCCACCAAAAATTAAGAAAATACTTTCAAAACTTATTTATACAAACTTTGATTTCAATCAATAGAAGAGAGAGAAATTTTATGTTATGGCATATAGAGGGAAGGTTAGAGTAAGACCTCAAGTGCATGATGGAAGCGACGATATTTGCGAAGCCCCTTGACGCAGCGACCGAGTACATCTTTTCTGACGATATTGCCCTCCATAATGTATTCATTTAACGTCTTTGTGACGCTCGCCCCCGTCGCTCCCAGAGCCGACAGCCTCTTGTATAAAGGAGGACCGCTCTTATTTACGGCGAGGTTTGGCGTCACGATATCCACGCCATCTGCTGTCGCGGTGGAGAGTTTTCTTAGACATGATGCCGACGCCACCAGATGGCTTCGATTGTGCTTCATCATCTTCACTTCCGTTCTCAGAGACAGAATGAAAAGCTTTGGGATTTTTGTTAGGGTATAAAATCAAAAAATCATGCTTAAACCTTTAACTAAAACGCACCGTTTGGCTCTGTCTCATTCAAAACACTGTCGTTTAACTCCTATTTTGTTAGGGTATAAAATCAAAAAATCGTACTTAAGGTTTATTTTTGGTGGCAACAAGATCTTTTTCGCTTGAAATAGAAATGAAACCTCTGGCCCTTCTTCTTCCTCCAACAATCGCGTTATCTCCTTCACACTTGCCCTCCGTACCGAAACCTCAACTCCAAAACCATAAATTTCGCATCTCGTGCTCCTCCATTCCACCAGAAACGGTGCGATTATTTAATAATCAATTGCTTTATTCTGTCATCAAATTTTTACACAAAAAGTTGTAAATTGAATGTAATTTTTCAGATAAAGAAGGAAAGTGAAATTTCAAGAATCGAATACAAATCTGGAGTGTTGGATGACTTTTTGCTCAACTCATTCCGTAACAAATTGGTACAGGTGAGTTTAATGTTAGTGGAGAGAAGGATCAATTGGTTGGCGGTTATTGTTATATTTTGTGACAAGTGTTGCTATATTTTTCAAGGAAATATAACAGGAGGTTGGATGGGATTCAGAGAAGCCTGGATACGATGGATTGATTGAATTAGTTAATGGTCTCATGATCAAAGGCAAAACAAATTCTGATACTAGCGATGCCGCGGTACTCGTATTGGTTTACTCCTTATCTATGGCATTCAATTAAATTACATTATTGACACTGACACTGTTGTATAGCTTATGGCAGGTTCGGATTTTAGCGTCATTGTTTCCTCCGCTTGTGTTAAAGCTGTATAAAATTCTTATATCGCCCATAGCTGGAGGGAAAATAGCTGCCATAATGGTTGGTGAGTTATTTGTTTAACGAAATTATGAATACTTTAAATGTAAATTCGTTTCTCATATTATTGTTTGCTCTTGAAGCAAGGGTAACTGCACTCACTTGTCAATGGCTCATGGGTCCATGCGCGGTGAATTCTGTGGATCTTCCTGATGGAACCACATGCCAAAGTGGGGTAATCATCTGAACCTTGTATATATTTAATATTTTCCCTGGTGAGGAGTCAAATAGTCATCTTCATGTTTGTTCCTGCCTTCCTGGTAGGTTTTTGTTGAAAGATGCAAGTATTTAGAGGAAAGTAAATGTGTAGGTATCTGTATTAATACCTGTAAACTTCCCACACAGGTTAGTGAGCCTCAACTAAATTTATGGGATTTTATATTATCCCTTTCTCTGACATATAATATTAACTTGTGGCTTTTCTAGACCTTTTTTAAGGAATATATGGGAGTTCCTTTATTGATGGAGCCAAACTTCAGTGACTATAGCTGTCAGGTATTTATATAGTAACATTTTTGAGTTTGGTCAATTATTAATGTCAAAGACGAACAGTGGAAATTAACCATCAATTCTACTTTGATTCTATCATATGCCAGTTTAAATTTGGGATTCTTCCACCACTTCCCCAACATGATACTGCCCTCAAGGAGCCTTGCTTGGAGATATGCCCAACTTCAAGCCGACGCAAGGGCTTAACCCAGAACCTGAANTCATCAAATTTTTACACAAAAAGTTGTAAATTGAATGTAATTTTTCAGATAAAGAAGGAAAGTGAAATTTCAAGAATCGAATACAAATCTGGAGTGTTGGATGACTTTTTGCTCAACTCGTTCCGTAACAAATTGGTACAGGTGAGTTTAATGTTAGTGGAGAGAAGGATTAATTGGTTGGCGGTTATTGTTATAGTTTGTGACTAGTGTTGCTATATTTTTCAAGGAAATATAACAGGAGGTTGGATGGGATTCAGAGAAGCCTGGATACGATGGATTGATTGAATTAGTTAATGGTCTCATGATCAAAGGCAAAACAAATTCTGATACTAGCGATGCCGCGGTACTCGTATTGGTTTACTCCTTATCTATGGCATTCAATTAAATTACATTATTGACACTGACACTGTTGTATAGCTTATGGCAGGTTCGGATTTTAGCGTCATTGTTTCCTCCGCTTGTGTTAAAGCTGTATAAAATTCTTATATCGCCCATAGCTGGAGGGAAAATAGCTGCCATAATGGTTGGTGAGTTATTTGTTTAACGAAATTATGAATACTTTAAATGTAAATTCGTTTCTCATATTATTGTTTGTTCTTGAAGCAAGGGTAACTGCACTCACTTGTCAATGGCTCATGGGTCCATGCGCGGTGAATTCTGTGGATCTTCTTGATGGAACCACATGCCAAAGTGGGGTAATCATCTGAACCTTGTATATATTTAATATTTTCCCTGGTGAGGAGTCAAATAGTCATCTTTATGTTTGTTCCTGGTAGGTTTTTGTTGAAAGATGCAAGTATTTAGAGGAAAGTAAATGTGTAGGTGTCTGTATTAATACCTGTAAACTTCCCACACAGGTCAGTGAGCTTCAACTAAATTTATGGGATTTTATATTATCCCTTTCTCTGACATATAATATTAACTTGTGGCTTTTCTAGACCTTTTTTAAGGAATATATGGGAGTTCCTTTATTGATGGAGCCAAACTTCAGTGACTATAGCTGTCAGGTATTTATATAGTAACATTTTTGAGTTTGGTCAATTATTAATGTCAAAGACGAACAGTGGAAATTAACCATCAATTCTACTTTGATTCTATCATATGGCAGTTTAAATTTGGGATTCTTCCACCACTTCCCCAACATGATACTGCCCTCAAGGAGCCTTGCTTGGAGATATGCCCAACTTCAAGCCGACGCAAGGGCTTAACCCAGAACCTTAATATCGAGCAATGTCCAAAGGCGTAACTTCTAGAGTGTTTTTAATCAAATAAAAACAAAGGTGGTTTCTCTGGACATTTGTTACATGAATTCGCTGTCTATACACAAGGAAACTTAAGTTGCGGTTTTTCTCTTTGCTTAATCCAGCAGGGTTGCTAACATCTAGTCAAAGAACTCTTATGTTTATATCACACCGTGATCTGCGTCGATTTGGTTTGTTTATATGAATGTTAACAGAGGCTGATCAGATGAAAATGAGATTATAAGATTTAAAAATACAAAAAAAAACCCTTGAAATGAAAATAAAAATCAGCCAGATTCTACAGCATGAAACAAATGATACATCATGGCCACGAAGAAAAACCGGGATGTTTTCTAGTCTCGGTTCCGTGAACAGAAAATGAACTTTGAATTATCTTCCAATGAATAAACCCCCGTAGGAAATCATCTAAAAAGTAAAAAAGAGAAAAGAAGACTCTTTTCCCATCCATCCACCCAGATTTAAAGCAGGATGGGCCCCAAAAAAACCCACATGCCATGCCCTAAATTGATAGTCAGATTTTCCACTAAATATTCGATCCCAATGCGATGGAAGGCAATTCCAGACTGCTCTTTGGAGCACCCAGAAAATCCACATATTAACCAGCCAGAGACAAGGATAATTGAAAGATTGCAGCCGGAAATTCTTGTTCTAACCAAATTCACTGCAGCATTTCCGCGAGGAGACTAAGACAATGATGTCTAGCGTTGTATATCAGCAGAACAACATTAAATATAAAAGGCCTAAGTACCCCGTTGATGAAAGGAAAACAACAAAACAGGAGAAGACATGATAAGGAGTGCAAAAGACCTATTTGCCAACATCTATGATCAAAAGATTGAACAAAGTATTGTCATATCCAGCAGTATCACATGGAATGATGGAATCCTGTGAGGGTCAAATGTTTCACTCTTCAAGGGCCATGCAGTCAAATAAAACAAGGGAAACAAGTACCCTGCTCTTTATGAGATTGATTCATTCAACAAAGAATGAAATCATGTCAAAGGCTTTTATTGAAAAATGCACCTGTCTTATGCAATATAATCCAGTAAAATTGAAATCAAAGATTAATAACAACAGTGTATCTATTCATCAAAGTGGCAGCCAGAAAGAGCTTACCCTACTTAATAGTTATAAAATTTCTTTCCCACATGCTATCTATACAGTTATTCATCTCCGGAATCATTCTACAGATCCAATCATCCTGGAACCAAACATGGACAAAATAGCAATTGAAAAGAAAAGGACATCATACTGTGTGCAACAACAGTAACTTCTACGAACTAAATTGAGAAACATTAAAATTAACCAAAAAGCAGAAGACAAACTTACAGAGCATGAAAAATTATACAGACAAGATCATTTCAAGATTTGACCAAAAAGATATTAGTTCTTATCCATGTAACACTGTTTGTAGTTGCAGTATACATTAACGGTCCCAACCGGAGGGTCTCCGCCTTTCTCTAGGTCTATCTCTGGAACTACAAAAACAGATCAACAAGTTAGCCTAATTAGCAACAAAAAGCTAATTTTAGCACAAAGTAGGCGCCTCATACTCAATACCAAAAGGTCAGACAGAAAGATAACCTCTCTGAATTTTGATTGCCATTTTCTCTAGAATTCTGACCAGAGGTATTTACTCCTGACACAAGAGCAGGACTAAATGAGCTGGTCATCTGAGCTCTATTAGTATCCCCACCAATTGAACCACCAGACACGAATCCAGGTAGTGCTGGTCTTTTGTTGGTATAAGCACTAGAACTGTTATTCACACCCTGACTTTGTGGGTTTGATGAAGCAGCAACAAAGCTACTCTTGAATTGTGCCATCACTCCGGTCCTCAGAGAATTAACAGCAGCAGATCGACTTGGAACATTCTGAGCTGGAGTATTAGTGGATTCAGGATTATATCCTATACCCAGACCAAAATCAACTCCACGCACACCTCGACCTGCACCACCCTTCCCTTTGCCCTTTTTCCCACCTGCATAAGACATTACTCATCATGCAAATAATTCAAAACACCTTTTCTCCTCTAGCCAAAAGACTTAAGGCATTGAAAATTTGACTGATATAATTTATCATACGCTTTACATTTTTATCATGACAAGAGATTGAAGGAATATTTTGGTGTTTAAATTTTTGGTATATAGCTCCCTCAGTAAGAATTTTGAGCATAGAATTGAAAGTGTTGCCAATTCTCAAGCACATAAAGAGCCCAACTGAATAATCATTTTTAACCATACCTCCTTTTCGTGCATCGCGCTTGGACCTGAACCTCCCATCCTAACGATTTTAAGAGCAAAATGTCAAAAAGAAAGGCAATGCAAGAAAGAGTTAATGCTTCAAGCATCACACGGTGCTACCAAAATCATTATTGTTGATTATAACTATATATCAAAGAACACGGAAACCACATCAAGAAACAACAATTCGGACAGCTGCATAAGAGTGCACAAAACTTTTAGAAATGTGCCTTTCATATTTACCCCTGCACAAAAGGGCCATTAGAAAGTACAATTTTGGTCTCCTCTCATTTCCAAGAGATGTGAAGAGATAAAAAATTAATAACGCAGATATATAATTTATATGTATTCTTTCCCACCATCTCTTTGTAACAAAGGTCATCACAGCTTTATTAAACCTAATGTGCACTCAATTTGAAACTTAATTCATCAAAGTAACTTTAAAATCATCCTGTTACCACAGAGGATTGGATAGGAATAAAATTAAAACAGAACAGTCACATGTATTAATGTCAATAAAAAGAGTTGCATACACAAAAAAGCTTCTATCAAGCAAAGTTACCTTCATAGCAAGATCCATCAGTTCCACTGACACATTCTGTCCAGCAGCAATTAAGCTATTAACCAATTCACCAGCAAAACGTGCCTCTTTCTGAGTTATAAGGGTGTAAGCAGTCCCATCTTTGTCACCAGCACGGCCTGTTCTACCAATACGATGAACATGCATGTCCATGTCCCTTGCAATATCAAAGTTTACCACTGACTTAATTGACTTAATATCAAGACCACGAGCAGCAACATCAGTAGCAATAAGAACATGGTAGATCCCAGATTTGAATTTTTGCAAGATTTCCATCCTGGATGCCTGGTCTTTATCACCATGAAGAGCTGCAACTTTAAATCTTGTTTGAACCAACTGAGTTTCAATCTCATCCACAGAGGCCTTTTTAGAAGCAAAAACTAAAACATCACCATTATCAATCATTCCAGGTAGCTTCTCAAGAAGCCAAGGCAACTTCTCAGCATCAGAAGGAATTACATGAACTACCTGAGTGATATCCTCATTTGCCATTCCTACCTCCCCAACAGTAACTCTTACAGGATCCGTGAGAATTTCGCGAGCTAACTTTTCAACTTTACGAGGCATTGTAGCTGAGAAAAGTAGTGTCTGGCGGTCTGGCCTGATCTGACCAACTATGGACCTTATTTGTGGCTCAAATCCAAGGTCAAACATCCGATCAGCCTCATCAAGCACAAGGTAAGTTGCTCTCAACATTGTAAGTGCCTTCATCTTTAGCATATCTATCAGTCTCCCAGGAGTGGCAATGACTATCTCACATCCTGCCTTCAGTTCTTTGAACTGATCAAGTTTGGACATTCCACCATAGACTGCAGAGACACGAATCCCATGTGATTTTGCAAATTTCTTAGTTTCCAAGTAAATTTGGTGCGCTAATTCCCTAGTAGGAGCACATATCACTCCAATCGGACCCTCCTCCTTCTGAAGTTCAGGTTGATCCATAATATGGACAACCATGGGAAGCACAAACGAAGCAGTTTTACCAGAACCAGTTTTTGCTATGCCAATGATATCTCTTCCAGAAAGTACGATTGGTAAAGCTTGGCACTGTATTGATGTGGGCTTCTCATACCCTTGCTTCGATATAGCATGCATTAGTTGTGTTGAAAAACCACAGTCATTAAATGTCTTAATAGGCCTGGGAACATCAAAACCAGAAACACGAATAGCCAGACTCTTTTTGTACTCTGCAACATCCTGCTCAGTCATCCCTAGAGAGAAATATAATGAAAATTAGATGCAGAATGAACTCCTAAAAGATTTAAAAAAAAAAAAATATGACCATGAGAAATGCTAAAACTGCAAAATGGCTGCAGAAGACAAACGTCCAAGTATTACATTAAAAATTCTATAATTAGAGAGGGGATCACTTTAATAAGCGTACAATTTTATTCTATAACATTATAAAGATTCACATCTGTGATAAGTGTTATGTAACAAGCTTTCCAACTAACGAATTCAGAAAACATATATGTAAAAAATATCTGTGCTCTAAATTTTATATATATCAAAAATATTTGTGCCCTAAGTTTGGTTATGTTTGAGTACATGGAATTTAGATGTGTTTTTCAGGGGAAAAAGAAAAATTGATGCTACCATTTTCAACTACACTTAGTTCTTAATCTAAAACTCAGGGCCGAAAACAGAGTCACAGCCATTCAGCCTCAAATAAACACACACGAAAAAATGTAAATCACCAACGTAAATGAAGATAAGCACTGCAGCATGATGTGAAATATAACCCAGGCTTATACAGTAGCAGAGAAATGAAACCCAAGTGCTGACGTTTAATTAAAAAATTACCTGAAATAGATGCACTTTCCTCATAAAAATCCTTACTAAACGGCTCATAATCAATGGAACTATGGTCCAGAGGTGGAATCGGCTCGATTCTCTTCTTCTCAACCACTATCGGGTTATCATCTGAATCGTAGTCCAACATCCCAGCATCCACAGCTTTGGCTGCCGCGTAAACCTCCTCATCTGAATCGTACCCCGCACGCAACGCATCGGCAGCTAATGTGAGCCCCACGTCCTTCTTCGCCCTCAAAAAACTCTCCATCGGATCATCCTCATCCTCATCATCTTTGTATCTCTCTAATTTCTCCTTCGGCTTCGGCGGTGGCGCTGCTTTCATCTCCTCGTGTATACCCTCCATGAAGGCATCCAGAGGGTCAATTTCGTCGTTTCCAGCACCGTTACCGTTATCGTCGGTGTCCTTGGCAGCATCATTATCGTCGTAATCGATATTGTCAAGGTCATTGTCTT